TGTCATCTGAACAGTTGGCTTCACTTTGGTGACACAGGAGGGAGAAACATAAAGGTCATTTCCCCTGGTTATTTCTCAGATTCAATGAGCTTGAAAGAAATTACATAACGTATCTTGGATGACACTGGAGAGAAAAGACTGGAACTTGAATCTGGATCTTCCGGGGCCTGTACTTCATGCTTTAGCTATGATTGCAAACCACCAACAGGGGCCTGTCATGAAGCCCAGCCTTGCTTTCATGGTGACAGATTGCTCATACTCTCAGCTCCCCAGCACTCTGCACAGAAGCCTGCTGGGACTGCTGACCGCCCCCACTTGGCCACCTCCCCGCCCCAGAATCTCTTCATCCGCCCTTATTCCCACAGCTTCCCTAACATGGCCATACTACATCTCGCTCAGTGGTCTCCAACCAAGCACACACATCTGTTTCCTCAGCCTTAATTATGGGATGACTTCAGGATTACCCATGTGTGTCTCTCCTAGTCTCATAGCTAAACCCTTAAGTGCCTTCTGGCCCTGAAATTCAACATACCTAAGATTGAATCAGGATGTATCCATCAGATGGTCCTGATTTTTTTGTTTGTTTTGTTTTGTTTTTGTGGCGCTCTTTGTTTAACTGTTTACCCTGTTAAATTGGTCCTGAGAGGCTGGGATAAGACCTCTGGTCCTTGACCTTTATTAGAATCATGGACATGCTTTTGATTCATCAGTCTTTTAAGCTGAAAAATGGCTGATGAGTTGGCATTTTGAAATACATCTGAGTGCTAACTATGAGACCACTATGATGGGCAAACTCAAGAATGCAAATGAACAAATCCACAAGGACGTAGCTAAAATATTTCTCAACTAAGCCTCAGCAGTTTCTCTCACGTTCTTGTAGATACTTATTTGAATTGCTTTGAGGATTCACATAAGAAAGATATATTTTTAAATCTGACTCATTTAACAGCTGTAATATAGCATCTGTGTCTGCCTAGAGTTGGAGCCAAATCAAAAGTGGTCTGTGGGCCTTTACACACTGATGATAATTATTTCTGTTCTCAGTGTCCGGTACTGTTCAGTGAGTGGCTGTTAGAAATACCCTGGCTTCTAGCTCCAGATGTGGAGTCTTCCCATAGGGCCGCTCACTGGTCAAATCCTTCTTCCCTGAATGGAGGCAGCACACATGCACAACCTTCCCTAGTGCAGTTACTGCAGAGATAAATGACCATTGGCCTCATGTGATTATGAAGATTGAACACAGCAAAAGCTCTCAGAACAAGTTTGAGGACAAAATGAGTCACTCCATAAATGCCAGATGTAACTATTATTCCTGTTGACAAATAAAGACTGGTTGGAGAGACAAGATGTTGGGGCATATTGATTCCAATTTCCATATTAACCCCACGGGGGCCCTGATGAGGTGATCAGTAAGAGACTCCCTTATTTTGCTAAGGATTGTTAAAATGAGGAGTTTGAATGGATACTGTGCTTACCAGTTTTTATGCCTTACCTTCATGTTTCACAAAGTATGAAATACAAAGATGAATGGGGGAACATGTTAGTTTTTTTTTTTTTTTTTTTTGACAGGTAGAGTTAGAGAGAGAGACAGAGAGTAAGGCCTTCCTTCCATTGGTTCACTCCCCAAATGGCCGCCACAGCCAGTGCTGTGCCGATCTGAAGCCAGGAGCCAGGTGCTTCTTCCTGGTCTTCCATGCGGGTGCAGGGACCCAAGCACCTAGGCCATCCTCCACTGCACTCCTGGGCCACAGTAGAGAGCTGGACTGAAAGAGGAGCAACTGGGACTAGAACCTGGCACCCATTTGATACTGGTGCCGCCGGGAGAGGATCACCCAAGTGAGCCAAGGCGCTGGCCCCCAATGTTAGTTTTAAAAGGAATTTATTTTAATGTGTATGAGTTTAAAAAATGTAACCAGCCCATCAAATCCACAATCCCTTGACTGTCATTGCTTAGGATGAAATTTAAAAAATTTAAAAATCCATTGGTTGAAATTTTTAAAAATGTGTGTTTGTTTAAAATAGTTTAAGGATATGGTAAAAATTTTGTTAGAAATATTTGATTCACCTGATTCTGCCCATTTAGCTGGTGAGGCAGCTGTTGTTAACGTGGTCTGCCATTGTCAGAGTCTCTGTTAACCAGCAGTAAACGTGAGGTTCATGCTACTGATTATTGCTCCCCGCTAGGCTTCAGCTTTCTCACTTTTCCAGGAACAATTATTTTTTCAAAATTTTATTCCCCCCTTTTTGTATAAATTTAAAATATGTTAGAACCATTTTAGAGAATACAGTAAAAGCAATAATGAATTTTTTTAGTAACACTTGACGAGTTCTACCTTCTTAAACACATTGTTAAGTGTGCAATACAGTATTGCTAACTGTAGGCACAACATTGCACAACAGATACAGGTATATTTTTCTTGGCATAGTGCTGTGAGATGGGCCAAAGAAAGAAGCCAAGAGAGGTGGGGAAAATGGCTGGAGCCCCGTGACAGACTCCTGCCTGCCACCTTCTAAACCATACCACATCACACCATGGGCCCTGGTAAGCTGCACCTTCCTGGGGGAAGAGAACTAACCTGTCCCCAGGGAACCAGCAGAAGCCACCCAAGTTTAATACTGCCCTAGGCTGCTTTGGGAGCAGGGTCTGGAAGTGGTGTGCTGGCCTCTGTTCCGAGGATTGCAAGGCACTGAGTCTGAATGTAAACTGGCCTCTTCTGAGTATAAAGAGCTCAGTGATTCTGTACATACACACACACACACACACACACACACACACACCAGCTCATTTCATTAAGCCACCCCCCCCCTCCACCCCAAATGGAGAGTTTGTACAAAGAACTGAAGCTCTACCAAATCACCAGTTTTTTATTCTATTCCTTTTCAGTTAGTTGCTTTGGGGTCTTTTGTGGCTCACAGTTTCCCTCAGGATTGAATCGGAGGATGGGAGGTTAGCAGGTTAAGATGTTAATGAGGCCTCACTGGCAACTTCTGCAAGTTCCCATGGAAAATAGATGCCATGTCAATGGAGGTTTACAATTGCTATTGCAATGCAGTTCAGAAAAAGCCGTGCGTGCACAGTAACTGGTGTTCCTGTGCAGTTGTATCTCAGGGCTCTAGGGTTTGAGAAGCCAAGTTCTTGGCCCAGCTCTGCTTCAGTGCTGTGACTCTGAAGCCAAATACTTCCATTTTGGCAATATAAAATAGCAATGGGGGATGGCACACAAAGACCTAGTCAGACCTTTGATGCTACACAAAGCAAAGGCATTTCAAGCCCTAGAGAACACAGAGACTGGTCTCAAATTGTGATACATGTTTATTTTGGAAAAGGGGGTTGTCCCAGGTTTTGATTCTGGTTATTCACCCCTCATCCTGGCCACCCTAACTCAGTGATCCTCTGCTGATATGCCCTACTCCCTTGCCCTTACCTCCCTAGAATGAGGTGCCCACCTAATATTTTTTAAGATTTATTGATTTGAAAGGCAGAATGAGAGAGACAGACATCTTCTATCCATGGTTCACTCCTCAAATGGCTATGACAGCCAGGTCTGGGCCAGGCTGAATCTAAGATCCAGAAACTCCATCCTGGGCTCCTACATGGGTGGCAGGGACTCAAGAACCTGGGCCATCTTCTGCTGCTTTCTTGGGCACATTAGCAGGGAGCTGGCTCTGAAGCTGAGCAGCTGGAATGGAACACGTGCTCCAGGATAAGATGCTGGTTTCCTAAGCAGTGGTGTCACCTGCTGTGCCGCATGTGGGCCCCCCAGCACACTGATCTTCTAGCTGACTCCAGGATGGGGTGCTAATGTGCTCATTTAAAAGGGGAACGAGAGTGCACATTTGGCTTAGTGGTTGAGCTGCATGCTGCTTGTGATGCCTGCATCCTGTATCAGAGTGCTCGGATTGAAGTCCTGGCTCCGCTTCCTGGCTCTTTTCCTATTTCCAGTTTCCTGCTAATGTATATTCTGGGGGGCAGCAGATGATGGCTCAAATAGTCAGGTGCCTGCCTCCAATGTGAACGGCTCAGGTTGAGTTCCTGGTTCCTGGCTTGGCCTGCCCCAGCCCTGGGCTGTTGTAGGCATTTTGGGAGTGAACCGGCAGGTGGAAGATTCTCTCTGCTCATCAAATAAATAAAAACTATTTTTAAAGTGAGGGGTGGTGGTTACAGTGAGAATTGAGACACAGTTGGCTAGCTGGGGAGAATATTTGGAGCAGGTTTTATTCTGTTTTGTTGAAATTAAGTGCTACATAAAATTTTGGAGGAAAAAAACGAGAATCTTGCCTAATTCTACCATGCTTTGTGATTGCCATTGACTTCTTTGATCTTTTAAGTCATTTAATTGTACACATACTTGTAAATAAATGCTGTTCATATAAGAATCAATACTGTTTGCTTTTAAAATTTATGGTTTCCATTTTACATCTTCTAAACATCATTCCATGCTGATAAGCAGAGTTCTCCATTATTTCTTTGAGGTCTGCGGAGTAATTTTCTGTCAGGGAGTTTTCTCCCTTTATTCCTCCCTTGTTTTCTCTCTTCCTCTCCACCTCCTTCTCTCCTTTCCTTTCTGGACAATTCTATTTGCTGCTTTCTTCCTTATACTCTATAATCTCCTCTAGCTCCATTTTACTGTCTTGTTCTGAGTCATTCTATCATTTTGCAATAATCTTCCTACTTATGCCAATAATATGAAAATAAAAACAAGGTGTTTTTTTTTTTAATTTTTGTAGTTTTGGGCTATGATGGCTCTGAAACTCAAACCAAAATAATTTGTTTCCATTTTTTTATTGGTGGTGGTGGTGGTGGTGACAGCTTTTATTTTCTCTGCTGGTTCTGGGAGAATAAACATGACAGTGTTTTGAAAGCTTTTCATATCCCCAGAAGGAATAAATGACAAAGAGGCAGGCCATTATAATGAATGTTGATGACCTTTCTTTAGGAACATGACAGTCTCAAGCCCTCTGTCACTGCTGAGTCTTGATGGCTGCTTCTTGTTTCCCAGACCCCGTGCCAGTCCACAGAGATGAGCAGAATGGAGCAGACAGTGCCCCAGAGGACCAGCAGGCTCTGGGGACCAGCAGGTTGCTCTATCACATCACTGACGGCGACAACCCCCTGCTGTCACCTCGCTGCTCCATCTTCAGCCAAAGCCAGAGATTCAACCTGGACCCCGAATCAGCCCCCTCTCCACCCAGCACTCAGCAGTTCATGATGTAAGGGAACATTTTTTTGTCATTATCCCCATTTCATACAGTTTTTCAAATACCACATTGACAACTGACAATGAAGTGTGCTTCTGCAGTAGTGCAAATATGTCTCTGCCAAGTGCAGCTGCAAAAGTGGAAAATAAATGGTGAAAATCGGTGTACTTCCCAGTTGAGAGTTCTGTTTCAGGCTTTAATATTTCATCAGGAGTTGGTCATGAGAAACAGGTTACCCCCAGGGGCTCGCATGCTTGAATATTTGGGATGAAATGACTAGTACCCTGAGTTGGTGTATAAGCATGTATGCTAGGGATTGTCAAAAAATTCATGGGAATGAGAGTTAGGGGAAAACTAAGCAGAGATTTGAAAATTGTTTTTGCACCAATGTGCATTTTCTACAAACTCGGTAAAGTACCCTTGTAGGTACATGTAAATGGCAGGACTGTCATTCCTGATGAACCCAGGCTCTCGCCATGTCCAGTGGTAGCAGCCAAGCATGGGTTGTGGGAACGCTAGATACTTGTTAACCTCTGTGTGTTTTACGATTATGAAAAAGTGAGAGCTTTAATAGCCCTCTTCAAATTTCACACATATATATATATATGTATATATATATATATATATATTTGTGCACTAGAGTCTATGCCAACATCTGCTCACAAACACGTTGTGATCAGAGGTCTCCTTTATTGAGCAGATGCAACCATGATAACCTCATCACGTGATGAACAAGTTATCTCTGCACTTTGTGATAATCTTTGGTTTGTAGACCAAGCAGCCATGTGTCCTCAAAGACTGTTTGTTTGTTTTCATTTTATTTGGAAGGCAGAGAGACAGAGAAGCCTTCTGAAAAAGATTTATGTATTTGAAAGGGAAAGTCACAGAGAGGAGATAGAGATCTTGCATATGCTGGTTCACCCTCCAAATACCTACAAGAAAGCCAAAGCCAGGAGCCCAGAATTCCATCTAGATTTTCTGCCTCAGTGGCAAGGACCCAACTACTTGAGCCATTATCTGCTGCCTTCCCAGGGTTCCTGTTAGCAAGAAACTGGATGGAAAGTGCAGAAGCTGGCACTTGAACTAGGTATTGTGATATGGGATGCAGGCATCCCAAGCCATGTCTTAACTGCTGTTCCCAATGCCCACTGTTTTTGACGCTCTTCCCTTCCCTCCTGCAGGCCCCGAAGTTCTTCCCGGGGCAGCTGTGGTGATGGCAAGGAGCCACAGACCATTACCCAGCTCACCAAGCACATCCAGAGCCTCAAGCGGAAAATTCGGAAATTTGAAGAAAAATTTGAACAGGAAAAGAAGTACCGGGTAAGCACCTGGGGTTGGATGTAAGAGCAGATTGTGTCAGAGCTGTGTGGATATTCCTGGGCCACGTTCCTTCTTTCTGGGTTGCCTGCTCGGCAGGCATCGACTCCATTCCCACTGGCCAACCAGCACCCATGATAAACTCAGTCTGCATCTTGTGTCTGTTGCAGTCTCCCCTGCTGTTGGTGGGAGGGTCTCTGCTGTGATACTTCTTGTAATGGATTATGACTCTCACTTCTGAACTGGACTGTGATCACACCCTTTTTTCCTGGAGGACCCTATTATCACTAGTTACTCCAGAATGAAAATTTGGAAAGCATTTGAATTTTTGTCTTTTTTTTTTTTAACTTTTTTCCCATTTTGATAGGGCACTATTAAGGACCTAAAGGGCAGAATGTCCAATTGTGGAGCAGCATCAGGGCAAGATGGTTTCTGTGACACTGAAGCACGTCCTGGTGGGAGAAAAAGGGACCTGTCATGTGACATCAGTTCAGGGCCACCCACAAGAACAAGTCTGCACCTCCTTTGCCATCAGAGAGGCAGGAGTCTTCGTGCTAGTGCCGCAGTGCTACAAACATGAGCCTTGCTGCTTCTCACATAATCAGTGCTGCTTTTCTTTATTTTCTCGGATGGCGACCACTGCATAAGGAAAAGTCCTATTCACACGGAACTGCACAAAGATAGTGAGTCTTTGGCAAAGGGCCCAGAACAGCTTGCTATGAGAATAAAAGAAAACAAACAATCCGTCATACATCTTAGAATACGTAAAGGCTCCCTGAGCATTTGGGACAAAAACAGTTGGGAGGTTCCTGTGAGCATGGTGTTAAGTTCTGGGGAGTGCAGTGGAAGAGGGTAGTATTCCAGTCTTCCTGTCCTGTGTTTCCCATAGCGGGCTCAGGTTCACTAATGGGGGAATTTTAAGGAATGGTTTTCAGCTTTCCAAAGTGGGAGGTAAAACCAGGTTGACTTTTAAGGCAACCTTAGTCAGGATGTTGAAGGTTCTTCTCTTCCCTAGGGTCAGACTGTCACAGCGGTTATTGGGAGCCCTGCCTTAGTCCAGGCCTTTATTTTACAAATAAGGAAACAGAGGCCGGACAGAGACTTAGAGCTTGCCTCTCGTGACTGTCTGTCAGCTTGGGCTTGGATCAGTGGGTTGAAGGGGAATAGGTTTTGCAGTGGAGAAGTCAGATAACTCTTACGTGTGCCACGTTTGAAAACTACAGATACTCTGAAAGCGCTGATTGTTACCTGCTGCTTGCTGCAGACTTCCTGGGCCTGTGATGTCCCCACCCTGGGAACTGTGGACTACCAGCTCTGGCTTCTTGCCCAGGAAGTTCAGAATCGGACTCTCCTGGATTTAAATCCAGTGGAGCAACTTAAGAACTTTGTGACTGTAGCCGGCGCCGTGGCTCAATAGGCTAATCCTCCACCTTGCGGCGCCGGCACACCGGGTTCTAGTCCCGGTTGGGGCGCCGGATTCTGTCCCGGTTGCCCCTCTTCCAGGCCAGCTCTCTGCTATGGCCAGGGAGTGCAGTGGAGGATGGCCCAGGTGCTTGGGCCCTGCACCCCATGGGAGACCAGGAAAAGCACCTGGCTCCTGGCTCCTGCCAGGATCAGCGCGGTGCGCCGGCTGCAGCGGCGGCCATTGGAGGGTGAACCAGCGGCAAAGGAAGACCTTTCTCTCTCTGTCTCTCTCTCTCACTGTCCACTCTCACTGTCTTAATAAAAAAAAAAAAAAAAAAAAGAACTTTGTGACTTTGAACTTGACCTCTCTGAGTCTCCATTTGTCTATCCGCTAAGTGCAGTTAATATTAGTGGTAACTTCTTGAGTCTCTGAGTAGTAAATAAGGGATATATATGCTTATTACAGTGTTTGACACAAATTGGGCTACTAGATTCTAAAGTAGCTTTTTAATCTATGTGAGATATATTTGACCAGGCTAGCCAATGGCTATCTCTGTCTTGTCATAAAGCAAAGGAAATTTGTACGTGGTAATTCTCTGTCGGTTTTTCCACCTGTAGCCAGAGACTGTGGATGATTATTCTCAACCATAGCAGCCACCCAGCAGCTGCCTACTTTGGAAGAGAATTTTCCTGGCACCTCCTGCCTTTGTTTAGAGAAGCTGTAAAGCCAAAGCAGATACACACATATAAATACTCACACTTGCAGACAGATGCATCAGGAGGAGCAGGGACAGGGGACTTCATGGTTGGCATTGCTTTAGTGGGCATAAAAGCCCGTGAAATAATCAGAACCTTATATGTCTCAGGAAACAGGGCTTCCCCTTGCCCTTCTTGTCAAGGTGCCAAGCTCTGGTCAGAGGTTTGACCTATCAGTGGGCTTTAACTGGTTGCTGTGTGTAAACTTCCCTTCCCGGCAGCCTGAATGTGGAATTAATAGTTCCCATTGCTCATTTTTGAACCCAAGCTCCTGCCAAGCCTCTGCACTGTTCTGATGCCTGTGTTTATCACACATCTTTGCATCTCTGTTGAATTTGACCATTTTATTCTCCTGTCCCAAACTGTGGTTATTTGCTACAACTGATTTTTTTGTCTGACTTTTAGATTCTAGAGGTTAGAAAAATGCTGCTGTAGCCACATGTCTACTTGGTGGAAACAGAATGTTAGCATTGTAAGGATCTGCTAGTCTTTTTTTTTTTTTTCTTTTCTGACAATTACAGATATTGAGTGAATTCCCTGGGATCACACTACAAAGAACTGATCTAGCCAAGATAACAACTTGGGTCTTCTCAGTATCAGTCCAGAGACCTACTATGTGGTAGGGATCTTCTGTGGAAGACCTCAGAACTGGGCTAGTGGTACCTTCTGTTATGTGAAATGGAGCTTGGGAGCTCCATTTTCATGGCACTGAACAAAACTTCAACTCTAGCACCTGTGGGTATGAGCACTGGAGTCTGTTCAGCCAGAATATTTGCTCAGAAGTTAGAAGGCTTGAAGATCCATATCTTGTGTGTGAAAACTTTTATGTGATGGAGGGTACCATCCAGGACAGCTTGATTTAACCTCTTTTAAAAGTAACCCTAAGGGTAAGGGAATAAAAAATTCATTTAAGAAAATGATTTTAGCCTTCAAATTATTTTGTCAGAAAATTCAGTCTTAAATGTCTTCTAAGTCCTATGTGCAGCAGTGAAAGCTCATTTATTTGTTTGATGGTCTTTGACTTAAGGTCTTAAGGGGGTGTGTGTGTGGGTGTATGTGGAAGAGAAGGAGAGAGGGAGAGAGAAAGAGAATTAACTGTAAACTGTGGGGCAGATGCAGTGAGGACTGTCAAACTAGATGGCTTCTCAGATGGTTTGGGGAAACCAAATGTAAAACATTGACTGTCCATATAACCAGACTTCTACCAAAGCCAAAGGCCTAGACTGGGAGGAATACAGTGCATCACTATAGCAAACCAGAGATAGCATCAGGCTCAGACATTTTGGGAGGAAGAGGTGCCCACAGGTCACTCTCTGTGGTCTTGAAAAATCAGGGCTCCCTCATGGAAAACATAGCACTCCTGTCATTGTCTTTTTCATTCAGTCAGCTTTTCCATTTTAACACGTGTGGTTTTTCTACCACTCTAGAATGGCAGAAGCATGGCTGTGTTTCATAATGAACCTACCTAATGTTATGTGTATTTATGATTCTGTCACATAGGTATAGTTTTTTCCTGTGACCTGAAATGAATGTTTTCCTTATTCCTGTACCTCTGTTTCAGCAATGGCCTGTCAATGTCACATGCATTCCGTGAATCCTTAAAGAAAGATGACAGAGCCTCTAGATGTGGTCACTAACAATGCACATATTTCATACTTTTATGATTATGTCATCTTAAGATTATATGTGTCCTTATGTATGCATTACTTTGAAAAGTTTCTTAAATATATATACATTATATATAATGTATATATAAGTTATATATATATATAGAGAGAGAGAGAGAGAGAAAGAGAGTGGAGTGCTACTCAGCCATAAAAAAGAATGAAATCCTGTCTTTTGCAACAAAATAGATGCAACTGGAAACCATTATACTTAGTGAAATAAGCCGGTGAATTTTTAGTGTAGGGTTAATCTTATAAAGTAAGCTGAAAGTAGATCACTGTAAAAATTAACAGAAGGAATAAGAGGAAGAAGGAGGAAGGGTGAGAGCATGGGTGGGAGGGAAGATGGGGTGGGAAGTATCACTGTTTCTAAATCTGTGTAAATGAAATACATGAAATTGTTTACTTAAATAAAAAAGGAAAAAAGCTTATGGGAAAATAGAATTAAGAAACAGGCTTATTTTAGTGCAAAATTTGAAATCCATACTTAATTTTTCATAATATGCGTTTCCCATAAACTTTTTGAAGACCCTTTGTATTCATGGACTTCAAAAATCTTTTGCACCGTTTTATCTATGGCGTGATTTACATCCTAGGCCCTAGCGCCCCCCCAACCCACCCCCCCCGCTGCCATTGCTGAAAGCCAGGTGGCCATATGGCCCAACCACCGGTGTCAAGCTCCCCCCCCATCCTAATGGAATTCACTATTCCTACTTCCCTGCCCGCCCTCTGGCAAAGTTTTAAAAGGACCTGTTCCTGAACACGTGGCTCTCTTGGCTCCTCTCGTCTGCTCTCCTCTCCTCTCCTCATCTCTGATAGATAAGACGGAGGCACAGAGAGACCAAGTACCTGCCTGAGGTCGCACACTAGTGATTTTGTTCACTTGACTGCTAACTGGGGTAAAAATGGAGTGCTAGAAGTGGTGAGAGGATTAGAAATCAGGGTATCCCCCTGACATACTGCCCTCTCCCTCTCAGGCCTGTTTTAAGGTTGTAGAGGTCCTGTGGTCTCCTTTCTTCAGCTTGAGGATATGACTGACAGGCACTAAATCTTGTCACAGGTTACAGTCATATAAAGCCATGTGTGTGAACCACTGGCTGGGTAGTAGGCACTGCTTTGTCCGAGTGCCTGCTGGGGGCAGTGTGGGGCACTATGTGAAAAGGAAAGCTTGTCCATGCCATGGATGGAAGAGTGGAAGTCAGGAATGGTTGCTGTTTTCTAGAAGCCAATTCCATCGTTGGAGTTTCCACTCTTGAGTTTCTTCACCAGCTTTATATGTCCCCAAAGAATCTTGGTGTGGCTCAGCGGTTGAAAACATGTTTTTTCTTTCTTACCTCCTTCTCTCCCTCCCTCTTCTTCCCCTCCTTCGGCAGCCTTCACACGGTGACAAGACTTCTAATCCTGAAGTCCTGAAATGGATGAATGATTTGGCTAAAGGTCGCAAACAGCTCAAAGGTAATGCCAGCCAAAGGTCTGTCTCCTCGGGAAGGAAGCAGTTAAAATAGTGGGGATGTGCTCCAGGGCGACTCTGAATCATTTCCACCTGTGTTCTCTTGAATCCTGTTTCCCACTTAGATTGGAAGCCCTATTTGAAATCAAGAGTCCTGGATCTCCTTCATGGTTTAGACCCATTTAATAAACCCTTTACCAAGAGACTGTGGATCTCTAGATTCCAAGTAGACTGATTGACTTCAGTGCCAGGAACATTTGAACATGGAGAGCGTCAGTCTCCCTAGGTTACTGGACAAAGGACTGTTGGAAACAGCAGCAGACTGAGAATTGGCCACGTGCACCACTGCACAGATGAGGGTCTTTGTGCCTAAAAAGGAGCTGTGGCTGGGAGATGGCAAGCCAGGGTAACACTGGGGTTCTCCTGCTTCCTAGTCAAATGCTATTCTTTGTCCTTCTGTGGATATGGTAGAGTATGACTTTTAAAAATCCATTTAAAAAGGACTACTATTTACCAATAAAAATGATTTTCTCCTTCTTTCCACACTAATATAAATCCTTAGAGATGGAAGTTTTTTCAGATTTCTGGAAGGATGAAGATGAGAAAGAATTAGAAGGGAGTATTAATTCATTGGAACTGTAATAATGTAGCAGGTTGGGGCCAGTTCCATGGCTCACTTGGTTAATCCTCTGCCTGTGGCACCGACATCCCATATGGGCACCGGGTTCTAGTCCCAGTTGCTCCTCTTCCAGTCCAGCTCTCTGCTGTGGCCAGGAGTGCAGTGGAGGATGGCCCAAGTGCTTGGGCCCCTGCACCCGCATGGGAGACCAGGAGGAAGCACCTGGCTTCTGGCTTCGGATCGGCATAGCGCCAGCCATAGTGGCCTTTTGGGAAGTGAAACAACGGAACCTTTCTCTCTGTCTCTCTCTCTCACTGTCTTTCAAATAAATAAATAAATAAAAAGATGTAGCAGGTTTATAAAATATGCAGTGTTTAAACACCAAGCCAGAATCTAACCAGAAAGCAACAAAGACAATGAGCTCAGCAACTGAAAAAAGTCAATGTAAATGGCTTCATTCAAATGACTACTCTTAACATATTGTGTAATGTAATCCCCGGGCTTTTCTATTTTTAATTTTCTAAGTTTCTATAAAGCCATACTGCAGTAGTGGTGATTCCTGGGTTTTAGAAGGTGGTTCTAGATAAAATGGTGACCTCTGTTAGGTTGGCACTGGCCTTCCCATCCCCCTTTTTCCCACCCCTCCTATATTTCCCTAGGTGTCTGCATGTGTAAGGCCTTCCAGAGGTACTTGCGCTTCCCTTGGGGCTCCTGATGAATACAAAAGGTTCAGAACTTGGGCAAATGAATCTCTGAGTATAATACTTCAGGTGCTATGGTAGGCAACAGGTAGAAACTTAGAAAGTAGCTCCTACCAATTTTCTTGCAGAATGCTTCTGCACATAAACCTAAACCACTGAGTCATCTTCACTCACCTTCTACTTCCATGATATCCAAGCCTCTTGTAGGCCTATTTTTACATGCTATTAGCCCTGGTTATTAACATTGCCCTTGCCCTTTGGAAAACCATTAACATTGGTCATCTGTACAGCTGGTCATCAGTGGGTAAATTCCTGAAAAGCTTATTGTTATTATTAGGGTCAATGAATCCTACTCTCCTAGTAACTCGCAGCATTTCTCTTAGAACTGAAGCTGAAGCTGTCAGAAGAACAAGGGAGTGCTCCCAAAGGCCCACCTGGAAACCTCTCATGTGAGCAACCCACAGTCCCCAGAGAGCATGGGAAGCCAGAAGCTGCAGGCCCTGAGCCAAGCTTTTCTGGGGAGGAGACTACAGATGCTGTGTGGACATGTCTGAAGGAGAAGAGACAGCAGCTTCCGCCACAGGAGGACTCCAAGGTATCTTACCATATCATTATAGGGTCCCCACATCCTGCATAGTATCAGTGAGATCATGCCTGTGACTCACTCGGCTGAGTATTCTGTCACCACATAAACAACTTTAGGAGACTGGTTCTGAAACTGTAGTCAGTTGTGCTCCTGGTGGGGTATTTTTCATGACTTGTGGGTGTTGCCATATGATTCCAGGATGTGCCTCTGTTGTAGGGGTTATAATCCTGTGTGTTGAGAGAAAGTAAATGGCAGAGAGACTAGGGTATGTCATACTGCTCTCAGCCCCTACGTTCCCCCTCTTAAATGAGCAAATGAACCAAAGATTAGGGAGTAAGCATATTGTCTGAAAGAAACGAGAACCCCATATGGTTTACTAAAAAGTAGTGAAGCAAGGATGAGGCATAAATAGTAAGGAAATCTGCCTAATAGGAATAGAGAAGTAGGGTTTCTTGGGCTGTTATTGCAACTCAAGTTTGCAGCATCAGAAATCTTATTTTGAAATATCCATGACAACTGGACAGAGTTGTCAATTAGGCACCAGATATGGAAGCCTGGATCTCAAAAGAGCAGCTAGCATGTATCTGGTCAATCCCTCTTCATTCTGCATGCCTCAGTTTCCATTTTGCTTAGACCAGAGAAGCTTTCCTTTTATCCTTCCTGACTCAGCTACATTGGTATGGCTGCCTTTCAGTTCTTATCATAGCTCTATCCTGTATGTCATGTTCTGTTTCTCATACTATACTTAAATTCCTGGTAAAGAAGGACTGTTGCTGTGCACAGTAAGTGTTGAATAAATATCCACTGAGTGAATGGACAATTGGACAGATAAATGAACAAACCACAACATTTAACTTTAAATGACGTCTTGAGAAGTTCACCTTTACTTGTTCTTTATACATTATCTGACATTAAATATAAGGTGGTGACATATGCCAAACCCCCAAAAGCTTACACTGTGCCCCTAGATTAATCCTTTACATTGAGACTTGTAATCTAAAAGTAGAAATGTTGCCACCCCTGTCTTTATGAGATACCTTTAGACTTGAAAAACTAATACATGTTGTAAAGAGTTAATAGAAGGTTTCCATCGTGACCAACATGTCCATCCCCCACTGAAGATTGTAAACTTTGGTGATAGAGATGGAATAATTTCTGTATGCTCACCCATGGTTTTCCATCTTTCAATAGTTGTGAGAATCTTTCCTGTACATTAGAGTTGCCTTGAGCATTTCCATAAAAGCAAATTGGTTAGTACCCAAGTCCTAATTCTACATTCTACTCAATTAAACAGGATAGTGGGAGGAGAATTGGGGTTGGTATAAAGACTTAGAGCAGAACTAGGGTCAAATGATAGAAAAGTACAGGTATGGTTTCTACTTCGATAGGATAAGAAGACCAAGGGGATGACATTTAATGAAAAAAAAATTGGATTAAGGCAGAAGCAAAGAGCATTCTAAACAGATGGAATGGCAGGTGTGAAGGCCTTGAAGGAACTAAGAGCTTATTGTGTACTTGGACTTCTCAGATCTGAGGGCTGCAGCACAGGATGGCATGAGATGAAGTCAGAAAGATGGATTGGGTCTCATCACACAGGACCTTCTAGGCTATGGAGAGTACTGGCAAGTTGTTGGAATGGTTATATGTAGAAAAATGACATAATATGATTAATATTTTAAATATATTTGATTGTGTAAATAAATCATAAGGGGAAATGGGAGATGAAATAGGTGGCTTGGATTAGCATGATAGCCTTGGAGATGGAAAGAAAGAAATGCATCAAAGTTTACTTTGGTTGGGATCAAAAAGGCATGCTGAAATACGTGATAGGCGGAAAAGAAGGAATGGAAGAACCCAGCCGGATGACAGGTCCATTTACTGACATGGAGAAGCCTCAGGAGGAGCATATTTGGGAGTGGAATGGAAACTTTAGAGCCTTACTTGGAACATGCTAAATTTAAGATCTTTGAGGAACAGAATGACAGCCATCCCAGCTGGCCCAGGACTTTCCTACTTTTAGCACTGAAAATTCTATGTCTTGGGGAATACCTCAGTCCTGGGCCAACTGGAATAGGTGGCCATCACACCAAAACATCTAAATTAAATAGACCCATGCAAATGAGAGCCTACAGATCAGAGAAAAATCTGAGTACTTTGGAAGTCATCCTTATGTAAATGTCAATTATCCTATTTCAATTGAAATATCTGTTAATAAGTATCAGAACCCCTTTAAATAAGCCAAACAGCTCTGCAGTAAATTAACATTAGGTCTTTCAGATAAAAAAAATCTAAAGTAGAACATGTATGCTTTAGTATATATAGCTTCAGCATTGTGCCTGGGAGGGCATAAGATAGGCGACCACTGACCAGCCACCATGAGGCTTACTGAGACAAGCTGCAGCACAACCTCAGTGAGGATTAAATATTTCCATAGCAGCTAGAATTAATCCTGCCTCAGTGAGCTGACTAACATTTCAGGTAATCTCATTAGGTCTGGTTTCTTTAAACTTAAATTGACAGATGACTTTTATCTGCAGTCCCAGTCTTCTTACTGCAACTGCATTAAATATTAAAACTTGGAAGATGAAGAATGACTTCTTTCCTAAAGAGACTTTTATTACATCTCTTTCTGAAATGTTTGGTGTTCAGTCAGAGCTTGTGCTGACATTGATAAATCCCACAACAGCACTGCCTTGCTGGTGCAGATACTGCTAATGAATACGTTTCTCTCTTTTATCTATGGATAATTTTTAGAGGTAATAACTTTGGGTCACAGGACATTGTTGTGCCCTGGAAATGAGTGAATTTTCTCTCTTCTCTCATTCTACACAACCCTTCCTGTCTACAGCATAAAAGATATAAACTAACTTGATTTTTATTATGTAAATGTGGAAACAAAGATCATGTTGAGTAGCTTAAACATCCAGAGAGAGCTCTCCAGATGTCTAGGTATATTTTTATGACACTTAATTTTCAAAATAATTTTAAGGAGATATAAGGAGATAAACCCCAAAACATAATTATTCTTACCTTCCTACTCCTCCATTTTATTTTTAAAGATTTATTTTGTTTTTTAAATTCTTTTTCTAATTATTTATTTGACTGAGTTATATTTATTTGAAAGACAGTTACAAAGAGGGAAGGGGAGAGACAAGGACAGAGAGATCTATCTGCTGACTCATTCCCCAAATGGCTATAACAGCTGAAGTCAGGAGCTTCTTCCAGGTCTCCCACGTGGGTGCAGGGGCACAAGGACTTGGGCCATCTTTGGCTGCTTCCCTAGGCACATTAGCAGAAGTAGAGCAGCTGGGATTCGAACTGGCACCCATATGGGGTGCTGGCAATGCAGGCAGTGGCTTAACTCACTATACCACAGTGCCAACCCCATGCTCCTCTTTTTTTTTTTAATTTTTCTTTTTAGCACTAGAGGAATTAAATTAGCAAGAGAGTGAGCAAAAAGAAGGCCATGCCTAGAATACAGTTATATATGATTTGCTGATACCTTGATAGCTTTGCCATATAGAAACAACTAACCAACCCTGTAGATGATCCCAATCACTATGTTCTGGAATAGCAGACCAAAAACAAGCCAGCTTTTGCAAGACACAGAACTGCTACTGAGTGGCCAGCCCAGATGTGTTTTCTTGTTGACCTGATGGCAAAGTTGTTTGGGAAAAAACTACCATAGCTCTAGCACGTTTACCAACATGTTTGTTTTTCTTTCTCTACATGGGCCTGGTGCCATATAATCTCTCATAGTAAACCACAGACATTTATATATAAAAGCATTCTCTCTAATCATCCTCATAAACAAGCTCTCTCTTAAGCAGAGAAGTAAAATTGACATTCTCTTCTCTGGACAGTGAGCAATTCTCTCTGGACTTCTTAGCTTTAGAGACTCAACTCTTTTTTTTTTTTTTTGGATTTCAGCCAATTCTTTAGTTTATTCTGCAAGGACAAAGAGACAAGCAGGATGGGGACACAGAGTATTAGGAACTAACTTCCCACAAACTGCCTCTCTTTTTAAAAACTTTAGTCATTTATTTGAAAGGGTGGGGGAGAGAGATCTTCCATCCGCTGGTTCAGCTAAGAGCCAGGAACTCCATCCGGGTCTTCCACATGGACGGCTAGAACCCAGGCACTTGAGCCATGACCTATTGCCCTCTCAGGCACACCAGCAGAAAGCCGGATCAGAAGCAGAGCGGGTGGGACATGAACTGGGTCTCCTATGGATGCCAGCATTACAGGCTGCAGCTCCACCCATTATACCACAAGAGCAGCCCCAAGTTTGCCTCTCTTAACATACTTTGTAGGTTATTGCAATTCCATCATTAAAAAAAGTGCAGGGGCTGGCCTTGTGGTGCAGCAGGTCAAGCCACTGATGCAACACTGGCATCCTATACAAGCACCGGTTCAAGTCCTGGCCGCTCCACTTCCCATCCAACTCCCCGCTAACGTGGCTGGGAAAGCAGTGGAAGACGGCCCAAATGCCTGGGTCCCTGCATCCAGTTGGGAAACCCGGATGGAGTTCCAGGCTCCTGCCTTCAGCCCGACCCAGCTCTGGCCATTGTGGGCATTTGGGGAGTGAACCAGTGGATGGAAGATTCTCCCCCCCGCCCCCGTCTTTTCCTCTCTCTCTCCCACTCTGTAACTTTACTTTTCAAATAAGTAAATCTTAAATTGTTTCATCTTTCTTCCTTCCTTCTTCTTCTTCCAAGATGACAGGAAAAACTTTCTTAGAGATCCCATCAACACTGCCATTTGCTTTAGAATATTTGCAATATTTGTTCTCCATGTCCTCAGTTTACTTTCCAGTGGGAGCATTATTGGAAAGGTTGGCTCGACAACATCCAACTGAACAGACGCCAGTGCTGTTGGTATAAATGTGAGCAGGGAGACAGTAGACCTGAGGTCAAGGTTGCCATCAGCTCTGATTAGCCCCCAAGGGCTCACCATTGCCTGCTACTGTGCTGCAGATACCCCATCACCACTCGGTTCACTCGAGACGGAGAGACTGTCTTCATTCCTCCAACGAGTTCAAAGCACTTTGCACATCTCGTGTGTGTGTGTGTGTGTGTGTGTGTAAGGCAGAGTGGCAAAGGGAGAGGAAGACACACACACACACACACAGATAGAGAGAGAGCCACAGCTTCCATCCGCTGGTTCAAAACCAGGGCTAGGTCAGGCCAAAACCAGGAGCCAGGAACTCCACCCTCCTCTCCCACATGGGTGCAGGGGCCCAAGCACCCGGGCCATCCTCCGCTGCTTTCCCAGGCCGGGTAGGAAGCGGAGCATCCAGGACTCAAACGGGCACTCCTGGGAGATGCCGGCTTCGCCAGCGGCAGCCCCAGATCTTACGAGACTTGGCAGCCGTGCAGCAACACATTCAGTGACCAGCTAAGGAGATCCCATGCTGGGGCGGACCGATGCTCTCGGTGAAGAGCTGCTGCTAGAATCCGGGACTTCGCAGCTCTTGGTCATCACAAAATCGTCCTGCACCATGGACTGAGTGGACAGCGTTTGCAAACAAGGACGGCACTGTCTGGAAGAAAAGAGGCAAAGGTGTCTGGCAACATCTCAGAGCCAAAATGGATCAACGCAGAGCGCCAGGAGCACGGCTGGAGGCACCAGGGCAGCAGAGTGACAAGCACTGGCGTCTGCCTTGGGGCTTGTAGAGACTCAACTCTTTACCCAGTTTTCTTGTTTCTAAGAAACTCAACTAGGCTAGCCATTGAAGCCTCGTGTCTCCAGGAATTGTTGTAGTAATGATTCTAACAGTAAAATCATGGAATCATGGAATCAGGAGACCGATTCCTCCCTCCTCTAGGGGAAGATGTGTCATGACTAAGATAATGTCTAAGGAATAACCTAAGTAAATAACCTAAAGGCTCTTGGGGTTAACAAACACTTAAAAGGCCTCTGCAGAGATCAGTTATTTTTCTAGTGAAAATAAAGATGAAAAAGCCTTAGGTTATATTTTGTGGAATTTATATAAATATTGCTAAAAATTAGTCATTTTTGCATATAAACCTGTGCTGATAGACTGATAGTGGGGATGTGGGTGTGAAAACTTAAGAAGTCCAGATCTGAACTCAGTTCTCACGAAACTTCTAATGTATTTGAGCAGATAGGACTTAAACACAGAAAGCAGTTAAGGCCCAGACGGTAAGACAAAAAGTTTAGAGAAAAGATCAATCAATCAGTACGGGCCAGGATGGTTTGCTACTGGGATGGGGGTAAGGTAGCATGGGATTAAATGGAAAGCTTAACACACATTTAGGTCATTATCTTTTCCTTCAAGGTTCTCTCTGGGGTATCTGGAAGGCAAAGGGATATGGTATGCTTGAACCTGTGTACTTTGATAAAAGATACCAGGGTGATGATATTATGAGCTATTTCTGCCATTTCCCTCCCACTACTTGCTAAGTATTAAACCATAGGCCCAGAGTGAGAGAGAAACTGTATATACTAGTATGCAGCAAATTAATGTAGGACACACAGCAGGGAGAAAAAACAAGCAGAGGAGTTGGGTCACTTTGGATGTAGGTAAGTAAGTAGATAGACATACAATGTGATCCTTGAAATTAGAATTTGAGGCTAGACCATGCAACAAATGAATATATACTGCATTACTGCATCAAGAGTTTATGAAATTCTTTAGTTGAAAGGAACTTTGTAACTCGAACTTTGTTTTATGGGTAGGAAATTGAGCATTCAGATAAGTTACATGTTTTGTCCAAGTAACTTAGTTCATATCAGAGCTACCCAGTAAGCTACCATATAACTCAAGTATGTAATGAAGACTTTGCACAAGGTTGATGTCTATCAATATAATCATTAAACTCCAGATAGATAAAATAGATGTTTAAGAAGAAAAATCAAATAAATGTTTAAGAAGAAAAAATCAGTAAGTCTGGTGTTTTTCCATCAAGAATGAAGTAGTAATTAAAGCTTCATCCAGCTAACACATTGCCTGCTCCTCTAGAAAGCTCTACAAACCATCTTTCTAAAACTTCAACCTGTCCTTTAAGGTAGGAGTAGGGAACCTTTTTTTGTGCCAAGGGCATTTAGATACTTATAATATCATTCACAGGTCATATAAAAGTATCAACTTAAAAATTAGCCTGCTATAGATGTATTGAATTTTAAGTCCTTAGTAGGGCCAGACCAGATGCTTTGGTGGGCCTTCTATGGCCTGCAGGCTAGATGTTCCCCATCCCTGCTAGGAAGTTTTCCTAGGAAATGCTGGCATATGTTACATATAAAATCTTATAAATGGCACCTTTTTTCTTATTAATATGGCATTATAATCCTTTGAAGTGTCATGATTTTTTTTTTGCCTGCTAAAAATGTTTTTATTCTTAAGAAAAAATAGTTTCATGTTTTTCAGGTAACCAAGCAAGACAAGAACCTCATAAAGCCTCTTTATGATCGGTACAGAATTATCAAGCAAATCTTGTCAACGCCTTCTCTTATTCCAACAATTGTAAGTCAGGAAGCTTGCATTAACTAGAAACCTCTACTGGTGCTTTATATTGGTGTGTAGTCAACTCTATCATAGTTAGTACTATGAAAATTCTAAACGGTCCTTTTTGGCAATATATACTGCTAGCAAGGCCAGTTTTTATTTTCAGAAAGTGGAAATAAGGTCTTCCCTAACCCTCAACACTACACTTAGCAGTGGCTAATAATTGGAATAGTTTTGAAACAGGGATACATGATAGCACATGTGTGTTTGAAGCTAGTTTTTTTTTTTTTTAATTTGACAGGTAGAATTATAGACAGTGAGAGAGAGAGACAGACAGAAAGGTCTTCCTTCCATTGGTTCACTCCCCAAATGGATGCCATGGCCGGAGCTATGCAGATCTGATGCCAGGAGCCAGGTGCTTCCTCCCGGTTTCCCATGTGGGTGCAGGGGCCCAAGCAGTGGGGCCATCTTTCACTGCCCTCCTGGGCTGCAGCAGAGAGCTAGAATGGAAGAGGAGCATCCGGGGCTAGAACCTGGTGCCCATAGGAGATGCCGGCACTGCATGCGGAGGATTAACCAAGTGAGCCATGGTGCCGGTGACTGAAGCCAGTTTTAACATTTGCTTGCATTACCTTGGGTAATGAGAAGAAACAATGGATTTTAACTGGCAATGTTTAATTTATAACAGAGCTAGACAGAACAGCCTTCCTGTATTTATACTGGATAATTTTTCTTCCTAATAAGAAATTTCAGAATATATTCTTTGATAAAATGGAACAATTATTTTTGGTACCATTTAAGCACAGTATGAGTAGATTTACTTTAGTATGAAATAGTGCTGGAATGAGTTTACATTACTTTTAATAAGAAATGATTTATGGTTAGATAGAACTAGAAAACCACCACAAATCCTGCCCCGTCAGTATCAAAATGGTCATTTGCTCAATATACCAATATAAAAAGGAATAAATATAAACTTTAGTACACTTGAGTACATTTATAATTCTATTTTTAAATATAATAAGAGAATAATGGTTCATAATTTTAAAATTTTCCCATTAAGGTATAATTTAAAGTGCAGTATGATTTTCAAACTTTGCCAAGAAATTTTTTTATTGTGATAAGAATTATCAGAACTGGTTAACAAGTATCCTTATGTTAATTTGGTCTTCAGAGACCTTTCTTGAATTAATTTATTTTCCAAGTATCCCCTGTATCTGAATGTGAGCCACAAATGGACCTGACTTGGGGTATTTCTGGATGACAAAAGGAATCTCTAGTCCTTCTCATCCTAACTCATATCACCATGAAGTATGTGAAGCTGGGGCCCAGACCTGGATGAAGGAGAGGAATTATCTGGCAGCGTAGTCCATACTACAACGTATTCTAAATGTCTCTGCTCTCTGGCCAGTGAACATAAGAGAACTTGGTGAGCACCTTAGCCCAGTATGAGTACATCTTTGCTCACTGACTTCTGCAGGATCTCTATTGCAACTGAGAATGAACTCCTCTCAGCTTTTCTGTTCTGCTTCTCAGCAGGCACATGGGCTACTCATTGGTTTTCATGTCTGTTAATGGTTCCATTCCCACTTCTGCATCTTCAAGACGTACTCATCATTTTGTCACTTTCTGTAACTGCCCTGTGATAAGCAGGAGGAAGAGGACTCTGATGAAGACTGTCAACAGGGAGGCCAGCAGCCGTCTTTGCCAGACCCAGCATCTCACCTTCCTATTGGTGAACATGTCACCTACTCAAATGAGGCTGAGCCTGTTAGGACCCTGCTTCCAGATGAAAAGAAAGAAGTAAAACAGCCAGCTCTCTCCATGTCTAATCTACATGAGGCTACAATGTGAGTATGCATCTTAGATGTGAAGATTTATTTTGGTCTGAGACACCTTGTATGTACATGCAAAGTTCAGAAGAGCTATTAGATCTTCTAAAAAGTGCTATCCATCAGAGTAGCCCCAAAGTATAATTTGGTTTTCTTCTAACTGGAGAGAACCTAGAGGTATCAATAAAATTCTCAAGGTGACATGAATACTAATATTCAGTTTGCTATAATCATGCTTCTTCTCATCAGGGTGCTGGCACCAGTCCAACTCTCAAGAGTGTATTAGTACAGCCACATTTAAAAATACTGGATCCAAAGGAGTTAGGATCCTTTGTGGGTCACCAGTTGTGAGAAACTTTGTCCTAGTCTATTTAGGTGATGTAGTTTCTCCAGATTTGGAGTCTGCTTGGCCTTAAATAAATGAACTTTTCTTTTGTCTCCAACAGCCCCCTAGTCTGGAGCTGTCTGGATTTTCATTAATGTTATCATTACCATCATTCATTAGCTGTCACTCCTGACTACTATGGCCCAGCTTATGAGATTTTCTTTAACATACATAGTGTGGTGAGTTTATATCCCAAAGCAGAGATGGGCTAAGTCCAAAGACTAGGTTATAAATTGAGCTTTTAATGTGCTGTAGGATTTATTGTTACCTTAATTCCAGCTTATAGAAATGTAACCTGCTTGAAAGCAGGCATTATTTTTGAGTGTGTGATTGTTCTAACATAACTGTCTCTAACTTTCTGGAGGATATGGAATTTTTTTTCAAATCAATGGTATCTGTTTTTAAGAAAATGTCCATATATAATTTCAGAGAGTTAACAAAGTCTCTAAAACTGTATCCAAGTTCTTGAATGAAGTGAGTAGAATTTGTCATGTAACTATAGCTGTTTTTCTGGGTTTGAGTTCATTCTCAAATTTTTATCATTTCCCTGGAATGAATTTGCCTAGATTAAGGACAGAACTTTAACATCTTCTCTTCTTGTGTCTATTAATCCGTCACCAAATGTGGTTACCCTAAATGCGTTAGTTTGCTTACCTCTTGTCCTTTCTCTCTCTTTTTTTTTTTTTTTTTGACAGGCAGAGTTAGACAGTGAGAGAGAGAGAGAGAGACAGAGAGAAAGGTCTTCCTTTTTCCATTGGTTCACCCCCGAAGTGGCCACTACACAGCCGGCTGGCGCGCTGCGCTGATCCGAAGCCAGGAGCCAGGTGCTTCCTCCTGGTCTCCCATGCGGGTGCAGGGCCCAAGTTCCTGGGCCATCCTCCACAGCAGGGAGCTGGACTGGAAGAGGAGCAACCGGGACAGAATCTGGCGCCCCAACCGGGACTAGAACCCAGGGTGCCAACGCCGCAGGCGGAGGATTAGCCTAGTGAGCCGCAGCGCTGTCCCATCCTTTTCTCTTCCAAGTGTCACTGTTTCTATCAGTTTATTCCCCATATTTATGTGCTTTTCCTGTTTCAGCCTTATGTGTACCATGCTTACTCCAAACTTACATGATCAGAACACATTTTGAACATAATCAGCTTATTTTTTTCTGAACAAACAAAACTGGTTATGATCTGTTTTGCCAGTGCTTAAATGGCAAATATATATTTTCCCTGATACAGGCCTGTGCTGCTTGACCATCTTCGAGAAACTAGAGCTGACAAGAAGAGACTCCGGAAAGCCTTAAGAGAATTTGAAGAGCAGTTTTTTAAACAAACAGGAAGGTAAGTGGGTTGAGAGACTTTTTAAAGCCAATTTTCCTACAGAACTATTGTTCAGAGTGAGCTCGAATGTTTTTGCAGGGACAGTTGCATTATACAAGATGTAAATAACTTCCACACTGGCTTCCACTCAGGTTTTAACCAAGGGAATATTCTGATATTATGGGAAGCTGTAGCTTTCAGGTATGACATCAGTTTTTAAAATATAAAGGACAAACTCTAGAACTTTGCATAATAAATCTCGTAACTGTTGAATTTAGTGTTTTGAAAACCATTTTTTCAATCAAGGTAACTTCTTTGTTTTTGGTATCTTAGTTCCAAAGTTATTTCCTACTTTTTAAACAATAATTATTCCTTTGCTTTAAATATTTCCTTTATTCTTTGGAACTGTAATTATTTTATTTCAGGATTGGCCAAGGGTTCATTGCCATTTTTACTATCTCATAAAAACTTTAAATTCTCTATTTGTCCTTTGTTTTTCTATCTTAACTCAAGTCTCATTTTACACTCTATTAGTTTCCTCTAACTTTTGGTGTATCACCTACCAAATTACATGCTCAGAAGATAAAGACTGTGGATCTACTTCTGGAAGACAGAGACAAATCACTTAGCTACCCTCAGCCTTAGTTTTCATTGTTAAAGGATGAAATGACAGGATTCCTGGGATATTAGACAGCTACAGCTATCATTTGGACATCAGTCTTAAAAAGATAAAGGATGTAACTTTCCCAAAGTCACAAACTTATGAAGTGTGAGACAGAATTAAATCTTCCTTCAGGTTTTACAGCATAAGCACTGGAGTCTGTGGTACACTGGCTCCTGGGTATTCCTCTCCATCTAGACATATGACTTTGCTGAATTGCTTTCAGCTTAGTAGTACCTCAGGGTTGCCCTGATAAAAACAAACTAATTTCTAAAGGAATCTGGAAATGTTCAGGCTTAGTCTGAGTACTTGGCAACTTTGCTGTTTGACTCCATAGACCTTTGATTTGGAGCTGGACCAATTCAGTGAGAAACTCTTTGTATTCACATTCTGCACTTTGAGTTCTAAATCTCCTTCAGATATGCCTATAATTGGCTATGAAGTTGTATGCCCTCTTGTGGCTATATTCTTAAACTGCATGCAAAAGTGGTGATTTATTACAATTAAAATCAAATAATTGAACGGTTAGGAATTATGGACTTAAATCTTGTTTTCTTCAGAGAAAGTCTAAACATCCATATGGTAATATAACCATGCAATGCATTACCTAAAGTTTTGAGGCACTGTAAAGGTTCTTTGTAATATTTACCAATTTAATATTATCACTTATAATAGAGATAGGAAATTTATATGAGGAAACTGCTTAAAGAAAAACATAGCGAAAATTGTCACTCTGGTCACAAAACTCTGGTTTATTAACCAAAATGGAGTATGTAGGACTAGGAAAACGTTAAATGAGGGACTGTTAGTGTTTCCCTGTAATAATTAAGATGGTATTCAGATAATCAGTTGTATTAAGTTTGTCTGGTAACACAGAATGAGCTAAAGTATTTGTTATATAACTTAGGGTTCCTCTCACGTGTCGATCCATGCAATTGTGTACTACTATAACTTATACAAGAAATCATAGAGCAGTAAATAGTGGTGCAACACAAGAAGATAACGACATTGTTAGAGTATCTATACATCAGCTTTAAAAAACAGTTGTAAAATAGAAATCTCTCCATTGGGAAAATAGATTGGGGCTACATATAAACATCAAATATTCACTCTTCATCAAGTTTCAGCTATATTAATATTGGAAAGTATGTGTTTATATTCAGTTGTAATTGTAGTCACGGAACTGTATTTCCCACCCCTCGTACTGGTCATGAGTAAAAATGTTTTTAAAACAACTGACTAGATTATTAAGAAGACTAGAGCCTTCTGAGACCCTGGAGCAATTATTTTCTTTTAGAAAACATCCTGACAACGTATTGTGGGAAGCCAAATGGCTTTAACTCCAGATGTCACCCAATTATTCTTCAAAGTGAAAAGCAAGAGCAAGTGTTTAACTGCATATGTCTAAAAATCTACATTGTTATGTCTAGTCTTAGAATTAGTGAAGAAAACTGTTGGAATTTAGACTCTTAAAAATACAGTAGTCAAAAAGAATAGCTTAGATGATTCTATCACATTTAATAGAGGCAGACTTGATTACAAGAAAACTTGAAAATGTTCCAAGTTCCTAAGGTAGCCATTGTTTTTCTGTCACTAAACATTCATAAACTATTTCTATGATCACTTTTTTTTTCTTTGAGCATTTTCAGGTTGATCTTTTTAGCAGCTCTCACTTTAAGGGCTGAATATTCTACATAGGCATGGGACTGTGTACAGTAATGATGATGACTGGACAAGCAATGTCTTGAAAGTTCAGTGCCTTTGTCTTTTTTCCTCTTTAGGTTTTTTTCCCTGTGTCTCGTTGTTATATGTCTAAGCACAGGACCCTGTATTTGCAAAAACACGCATGACATTCATGTTCTCCAAGGATACTGTTATTTGGAAGAGGGAATGAACGAAGGTGAAAGGGAGGGGGAGGACAGTATGATGCAAAACCCAAGTACAAGCTATTACTCTGTACTTCCTCACTGCAAATTATAAAAAATACTGAATCAATGTATTCATTATGAACTAACAGACTGTATTTTCTGTTTTACAGAAGTCCACAAAAGGAAGACAGGATTCCAATGGCAGATGAGTACTATGAATACAAGCACATAAAAGCCAAACTGAGATTATTAGAGGTCCTCATCAGCAAGCAAGATGTAGCCAAAACTATTTGAGGTTCAGGAAATGTTTATGATCTTTTCACTTACAATAAAGTCAAGCTTATCTTCCTCTGCCATTGTTGCAAGCAGCTTTGACATACTGAAAATGGAAGCACTTTAGTGATAGTATTAACTGTTTTTAAGAAGGAATAACAAATGCAATTAAATTATATTTGAGGAGGGATTTGGATGAGGGAAAATAGAACAAGTAACTCTAATTGGTAAAAATGCAGTCTTCTCCATGCCAAGGGGGAATTGTGAATATAATGATTGCAAAATAATCTAATAAAATCAGTGTAATACATAGCCAAGCTACCTGTTACAGAAAGTTTATATACTGTCCAAAGATTATATAGGTTGATAAGTGGAGCACATAATTTTTTAAAACCAAGGAGAAGAGGAAAAGAAATTCTGCTTGTCATGCAGAGAGGAATTCAGCTAGCAAGGAAGAAATTTACTTAAAACTTTAGTAGATTTTTAAGTGATAAAATACCTACTACCTTGTCCCTTAAGTCTGCTAGGCTCTCAGTACCCTAAAATATACTAGAATGTGTCATGCTAATTTTTTATTTCTATATAAAAATAGCAATTATTTTATCTGTAATTTGAAATTTTACATTTCTTGTTACCAAAGTTCATTCTGATAGCATGTACTTTGTGAATTATCTTTGTCTAAAATTGTTATTTATATTAAAATACTGTATTAAAATTTTAAAATTGGTATTTTGGATAGATGTATCTGCAGTATAGAATCTAATGTGACCATAGTATTACTGCTGATGTTTTTCTTTACTATAACTAAGATTAAACAACTATTTTTCCATTGGGAAGATGCATTTTTCTTAATGTTCCAAGGTCTACTTTGTAAAAGTTGAACACTTTCTCATTACTTATAGTTATTCTTTATTCTGTACTAAATGAAAGGTTTGGAAATTGTTTGCCATGACACCTTAGAAAAGAAGGCAGAATATATTATTTGTTTCATAAACTTTAGTGTATCTTGTTTTATTATTTTGTACTGAAGCATGTTTTGTTTTTGTAAAGTTGACATTCTCTCATGTACCAACCACGTTAAGTTTCTGTTTTCTGTAGTGTTCAAGCATGAAGAAACTCACATTTTCACATCATTTGGATAGGAAAATTATTGTTTCAGAAGCAGACTAATTCAGAGGCTTGTTATTTTCTCTGTATTCACCTGATTTTTTTTAACTTTTATGAATCGGAATAATGCCCATAAATTTGTTTAATTGAAGTCATCTACTTGTAACAGGACAGATACACAGCTATTTGAGGTTTACAAATTACATCTTTGATAAGAGAAATGGTTTTGTGACAAGTATACAATTGCTATTAAAATGTAACTATATTCTGTATGACTGTAAATATTTTATACAACAATGCAAATAAAATATTTTTCTATTATATTTATTATGTTTGAAATACAGTAGTTGTTTCCTGTTAGCTAATATAAATAACATAAATAACACTGTCAAACAACAAGTTGGAAGTGCTGACAATTCTAGGTTTCACTCATGCTGCAATTACACCCTTTCATGCGATTTGGACTTATCCCAATATTTGTTCAGTAGATTAAAATGAATGCATATTTAAACACCATTTATAAGCCATTAATTTGTATTTTGCTAAAGCAGTCTATATAATTGTTTTGTTATGTTTGGCATAAACAAAAAATTGCAGCATCTAGGCAAATAAAGTGTCAGAAGGAGAACTTAGGCTACTTCATCATTGAAAGTGGTGGGAAATAGGAAACACTAAAATGGTTCTGAATGAAATTTGAAAAGTGACAGTTGGCATTTGGTGATAGCGGCATGTGCATGCTTCAGTGGAAACATCTGGTAATGAAAATGGACAAGAGTAGATTGACTCTCCTTAGGGAAGAAAAAGGGCTGAGTAAGAATAAGAAAAGTGGGCATTAACGTCCAACACTGATGTTACAGGTTTTGCAGCTGGGATCTTTCTTGGCATTTGCAGTAGACAAACTCATGAGCTGATGACCAGTGATTTCTGCTACGGTGCCCAGAGCAAGATCCACAGGGTCAGTGTAAATGACTTCTAAAATGACATCCTGGGCATGGTGGTAGACCAGCATCCCATCTTCTTCTGTACAGGTCAAAAATTTATTATCCTTGGAATTGAGCTGAGGAAGACGCTGCTTACAAAATTCATCTCCTGGTGATCCCACAGGGGCAATAACAAGAATCACATAATGATAAGCAGTGTACATACAGTAGAAGTCCCCAAAGTATAAGTTAGTATTGGGGTTAAAAAGTTTTTCTGCTGCAATTTCAAACCTGTATCTTCCATAAGGTGAATCCTGGGGTGGCTTCCCAGTATTGAATTCAGTGCTGCAGCTGAAGAAGATGCCTTCTAGTTTTCCACTAATAGGAGAGCCATGGCTGCCACTGTTATCCTTGACAGAGGGCTGCATGGCGCTCCCATGATGTTCTCTGCAACAGGAAATAAACAGTCACTATTTAGTGATTTATACATTTGAATGGACCAAGAGTCAGCCATCTTGTGTTAAAGGCCTGAATGCCCAGCCTACTAACAGATCGAGGGGGAGGCACCTTTTGACATTCTCTACAGATGGCTGAATTCTAATCTTGATCCTTAGGGTCTTTAAAAATGACCTTCTGCAAACCTTGAAAATCTTTAACATCATAAACTTCCTGACCAGAAATATCACACTAGAAATCTTACACATGAAATCACAACTAATATGTGCCTACTCGGGTCCAAAGTGGCCTTGTGAAGAGGAAACTGAACTCAAGCACTGGTTACTTAAATATTTAGAATGTTTCTTTAAAATATGGTAGAAATTTCATAAAATGAACGGAGTCTATTTGAGAGAAAAATGTTTTGTTTTGGCTTTGTTACCCAGGCACAGCTGGATCAAGTTCTCTCTCCTTCACTGTGCTTGTTAGTCTCTCTTTAAGCTCACCCCTACATCCACTCTCCACCCTTCTTGTCTTCCATCACCGTCCGGCACTCTATCCAGTTCTTCTTTGCCCTCTAACTCCCTTCCATTTCACTTCTACCAGTGGCAGGACCAGCAGAGATAAGAGATGAAAACCTCCTGGTGTATTTTCCTCCACTGCCTCCAAGCATCTGAGCCTTGTGGTTCTAGCAGGACTGGGTGTTTGTATGATTGTCTATAGCACACTGTTCCAGCCGAATGGCCTCTACATCCTCTACATTCATTTCCAAGAATAATGAAAATTTTCGACTCCTGGTGGTTCCTGGTGGTTTTAGTATCTCCTTAATCCTGCATACACCTTTACAAATTCTCCAGAATTCCCTGAGTGTGCCTTCTTTTCCTTGCAGGATTTCTGACTTTGGATGAAAATTTCAAGCTATCCCCCAGCCAAGAAAAGATTCCCCGAGTCGGCATGCTGCTTAAAGAGTCAATGAGGTATGCTCTGTATCTGCTACTGACTTTAGAACTGCAATGGATCTCAAATTCCTTCATCTAAAGCTACCTGGGAGCTTGCTGAAATGCATGTTCAAGTAAAGACCAAAAAATTCCACACATAGAGTAAGGAGACAAGAAATAAATGCAGTGTTATATCCTGGATCATACTCTGCATTGTTACTGTTGTTTTTTCTTCCTACTGATATTCCAAGATTTCTTTATTTTCTTCATGCTTCAGAAATTTTGTTTAGCTGGTTTCTTTTAGGGTCGTTTTGCTAGTGACAAATTCCCAAAGTTTTCCTTTACCTAAGCATATCTTAACTCCAATTTTTTTTTTTGTTTTCCTGAAGGATAGTTTCACTGTATACAGGATTCTGGATTATTCTATCAGAACTTGAAAATATTTTGCCATTTTTCTGACCTCTGATATTTCATTATTCAAAGTTTTCCCCATAAATACCCTTTTTTTTCACCACTCCCAAGATTATTTTCTTAGTCTTCAGTTTTCAGAAGTTTATAATGTATCTTGGCCTGGATTTCTCTGAGTTTATCCCATTTGACGTTTTCTCAGCTTGAATGTGTAGGTTACATTGTTTGCCAAATTTGGGAACATTTAAGCTATGGTTTTTATGGATAGCTTAGAAAAATTATATACATATGTGAAAGGCAGAGCAATAGAGAAGGAAAAACAGACAGAGATCTTCCATCTACTGGTTCACTCTCCACAGCTGGGCTAGACTGAAGCCAGGAGCCAGAAACTCTGTCTTGAGCTCTCACCTGGGTGGCAGAGCCCAAGAACTTGGGCTATTTTCTATAGCTGTCCCAGGTATATTAGCCAGAAGCTCTAATAAAGCAGAGTAGCTTTAGAACTGGAACCTGTACTCTGATATAGGAGCATCAGTTTAACTTGTTACACCACAATGCTTTCTTTTTTCCCCTCATTGATCTGCTCTGGCACCATATGTCCATGACACTGCTTTTATTTCCCCTCTCTGATAAGTTGTATCTTTGTTCTGAGTTTAGGTAACTTTTATTCTATCTTCAAGTTGACAGAGTTTTCTGTTTTGTTTTTGTACTCTTGATTCTACTATTGAGTCTACCCACAGAGGTTTTTTTTTTTTTTGGACAGGCAGAGTTAGAGAGAGACAGACAGAGATATGGGTCTTCCTTCCATTGGATCACCCTCCAAATGGCTGCTATGGCCAGGGCCCAGGGACCTGGGCCATCCTCCACTGCACTCCGGGGCCACAGCGGAGAGCTGGCCTGGAAGAGGGGCAACCGGGACAGAATCCAGTGCCCCAACCAAGACTAGAACCGGGGTTGCCGGTGCCGCAGGTGGAGGATTAGCCAAGTGAGCCGCGGCGCCAGGTTATTTCTTTGCCTATTAAGTTTTTCAGTTTTAAAATTTGCATTTAATTTTTATATCTTTTTTTGTCACTTCCTTTTTTTTTAATTTTGTTTAGTTATAAAAGTTTCATATATTTCACATATACAGGTTTGGGAACATAGTGATACTTCCTACCCTACCCTCCCTCCAGCCCATGCTCTAACCCTTCTTCCTCATCCCTCTCCCATTCCTACTCTTAATTTTTACAAAGATAAATTTTCAACTTACTTACTGATAATAAAGTTAATGCTACACTAAGTCAAAGAGTTCAACAAATAGTATAAAGAAAAAAAAAAAACACTGTTCCTTAGAGGAAGACATGAGGTCTGTAAACAATCATCAAATCTCAAAATGTCCACTTCACTCTAATACATTACATTTTAGGTAATCTATTAGTTACCTTGGATCAGAGAAAACATGAGATCTGTCTTTTGGGAATGGCTTATTTTACTAAGTATGATGGTTTCCATTTGTATCCATTTTGTGGAAAAGATAGGATTTCTTTTCTTTTCTTTCTTTTTTTTTTTTTTTTTTTTTACAGCTGAGTACTATTCCATAATTTCTTTATCCAGTCAACAGTTGATGGACATCTGGGTTGATTCCATATCTCAGCTATTATGAATTTGTGCTGTAATGAATATGGGGATACAGATAATTCTTTCAGATGCTGATTTCCTTTGGTTTGGGTAAATCCCCAGGAGTAGGATGACTGGATCATATATTGATCTCTATATTGAGATTTCTGAGGTTTCTCCATACTGTCTTCCATAGTGGCTGCACCAGTTTACATTCCCCACAAACAGTGAATTAGGGTACCTCTTTCCCCACTTCCTTGCCAGCATTTGTTGTTTGTTGATTTCTGTATGAGAGCCATTCTAACTGGAGTGAGGGGAAACTTCATTGGGGTTTTGATTTGCATTTCCCTGGCGGCTAGTGATCCTTAGCATTTTTTCAAGTGTCTGTTGGCCATTTGAGTTTGCTCTCTTGAAAAGTTTCTGTTCAAGTCCATTGTCCATTTCTTAGCTGGATTGTTTATTTTGCTGTTGTTGAATTTCTTGAGCTCTTTATATCAACTGCATAGCTTACAAATATTTTCTCCCCTTCTGTTGGTTGCCTCTTCATTTTGCTGAGTGTTTCTTTTGCAGTTCAGAGATTCTCACCTTGGTATAATCCCATTTATCAATTGTGGCTTTGATTACCTGTACTTCTGGGGTCTTTTCCTAGAAGTCTTTGCCTATGCCAGTGTCTTGGAGTTTCCCCAAGTTCTCTAATGATTTGATGGCATGGGGTTGTAGATTTAGGTATTTTATCCATTTTGAGTGAATTTTCGTGTAAGGTAGGAGTCTAATTTCATACCTCTGCACATGAATTCCATGTTTTCTTAAAGACTTATTTATTTGAAAGGCAGATTTACAGACAGATTTTCCATCTGCTGGTTCACTACACTGATGGCTGCTATGGTCAGGGCTGGGCCAGGCCAAAACCAGGATGCAGGGGCTCACACTTGGGCCATCTCCTGCTGCTTTTCCCAGGCCATTACCAAGGAGCTGGGTAGGAAGTGGAACAGCCAGGACTCAAATCCGTGTTCTGATATGGGATGCTGGCATTGCAGGCTGAAACTTAACCTGCTAGGCCACAACACCGGCCCCCCTTGCACCATTTTTATGGTAGCTGCTTAAACATCCTTGCAGCAAATTCCAAGATTTGTGTTATCTTATTGTTGGTGTCTTTGGTCATCTTTTCTCATTCAGCTTACGATCTTCTTGTTTCTTGGTATGATCAGTGAATTTCAGCTGTATCTTGGACATTTGGGGTATTATGTTGGAAGATTATAGATCTGATCTTATTTTAGTAGGCTTTTCCTGAAATGTACAAGGAGGGGAAGTGTACAGTGTGTCATATCATTCCTGTCAGAAGAGGATAAGGGTACAGGTCCCCACTTAACCACCTCCCAGCCTCATGCAATTAGAGGCTATTACAGGAGGAGGTGGGAGTTTAAGTTCCCAGTAAATCTCCATTAACAAAATCTAGCTGAGACAGGGTGGATATATCTTATTACTGTTCCCCATGTGGCCTTCACTGACACCGGTGGCAAGACTCACTGCCTCTGAGAAGTGGTAGAAACCCTAAACTCCTTAGCCAGCCTTTCCTGGCACCACCCCAGCAGAGAGTGAAGGACTGGAGAAGCAGTGCTGCCGTATGTTTACAAGAGGGTGGAGGGGTCCAGTGCTATGGTATATAGTTGGCTAAGCCTCTGCCTTTGGAGCTGGGAACCCCATTTGGGTGCCAGTTCATGTCCCCAGCTGCTCTTCTTCCAATCCAGCTCTCTGTTATGGCCTAGGAGAACAGTAGAAAATGGCCCAAGTACTTGGGCCTCAGCACCTGTGTGGGAAACCCGTAAAAAAGCTCCTGGGCTTCAGATTGGCCCAGCCATTGTGGCCATTTGGGGAGTAAATCTACAGATGCAAGAGCTTTCTTTCTGCCTCTCCCTCTCTCTGTAACTCTGCCTCTCAAATAAAATCTTTAAGAAAGAAAGAGAGTGGAGGCATAGGTTGTCCCCTTGACCTTGGCTGGTAACCATGGGTGTCGCTCCCCCTCTTCATGGAGGAACGACACTAAACCCTGCCTATGCTTCATATCCGAGTCACGGCACCATTATGTCGCTCCCCGTCTTCGTGGAGGAACGACACAGGACCCTGCGTTGTTCTTTCGTCTGCTCAGCCCTTCCTGGGTTTGCTGCTGGTTCTTCCCGGGTTGGCTACCGACCCTTCCACCTCCGTGGAAGGGTGGTTCCCCCTAGCCACTTTCCCCACTTCCGCGGGGGAGCGGCACACCGCCGGCCGGCTCTCCCGGGGGCTGCACAGGTGTTCCTTCAGATAGATGTTCCCGGTGCATGTTGTCTCTCTCCTCCTTTATAGTCCTCTTCCGCCAATCCCAACTCGGCTGCCCACATGCCGAGTGCGCTGCTCTCCTCCAGTCAGGAGCAGGATCAGCTCCTGGAGGTCATCACTCAAGTTGGCAAGAGGCAGCTACGTAGAAGCTGTTTCCTCCTCTCCCAGTGCCATATTGTGGGAGAGCAGATGCATAGAATAAGTCTCAATTCCAGTAACTTAGTCTAGTCCGAGTTGCTCCCCACAATGGGACTGCAGTTCTTTTTTTGCAACAGTGTTTGGCTGGAAGGGAGTGGCTACCCTGTAAAAAGTTTCGACATTGAAAGCAGTCCCTTTCCTGGTTCTTTGCGTTAATAGGAAGATGTTCTATTTGTTTTTATTAATGCCCACTGACACTCCAGATTCTCCAGCACCTAGTCTAGTACATAAAAACAAAGAAAATTCAGGTGACTACTCATCATGTCATTCCTTTAGTTTCAAGGTCCTTTTTACTTTTCAAAGTCCTCTTATATCCTACATATTCATATGTAATATCCAGGGTTTTACATTGTACTTACTGGGAAGAATATGGAGAAATGTTTCTATTCCATGTTTTCTGATTATATTTCTTATCGTAGTCTCATTAATAAAATGCAAATAACTGTATGTGTCCCACATATTTATATGTATACCATTATGTGAAATAACAGCAGAAATACAAAAGCAGGAATTTAGACTAGAAAATGTGTCCTATCGGTAGGACTGTGCACTTTGAGGGTATATAATTTGGTACCAAAAGTAAAGGCATTCTTCCACCTGCCTACAAATCTCAATAGAGTCCTAACTAGAAACTTTACAGGTGCACAAAGGTGTTTCAAGGACAATTAAGCTACCTAGAAGAAAGTAGTATTTTCATTCAAAGTAAGGAAAAGGAATGTTCATTTTGGCATTATTTTCTAGAAGACATCAAAGTGAGTTCATACAGATTGAGTAGATTTGTCTAGGACTTTGAGAATTTAAAGGAAGATTCCAATTGCCTCGTATAGTCAAGTATTCTGAGTAACAAGATATTTTAAATGGATTCTAATTGAGAGTCCTGACTAGATTTCATTAGATAAAAAGAACATCAAGATCCACTTAAGTTATTTAGTATTTTTTTAAATAAATCTTTTTTAAAAGACAATGTTGACTAATCAGTGGAATTACTGAAGAGCTGACAAAAGGCATATACAATCTATTCAATCGAACTGTACCTGAAAACTTCTCCAGTCTTGGCAAAGATATGGACATCCAAGTAAGGAGTACCATAGAATGTCATAAAGATACAAACTGGAAAGAACCTCACCACAATATATATAAAGTCAAACTGTCAAAAGCTTAAGACAAAGATAATTCTAAAAGCTACAAGAGCAAAGCGCCAAGTCACCTTTAAGGAAGTCCCTGTTATGTGAACAGTAGATTTGTTACAGACCAGGAGCAAATGTATAGATATATTTCTAGTTCTAAAACAAACTGCCAACGAATAATGCTATACCCAACAAAGCAAGCATTCATAAATGAAGGAAAAACAGACTTTCCAAAATAAGAAAAAATTGCTGAATTCTATCACTCCCATATTGGTTTTACAAAAGATACTAAATAAGTCCTATATACAGAAGCCAATAAATAAATAAACAACCAACATCACAAACGCCTGAAAGGATAAACCCCAGTAGGAAAAGAACAAGGGATATTTAAAATCAAAAGAAGTAATTTTAAAAAATAGAACTATGTCATTACTTATCAATATTACTTTGAATATAAAAGGCATAGACTAAATAAATTGAAAAAACACAAGCAGAAGGCTGCCTTCAAAAAACTCATTTCACCAGTAAAGACAGACAGACAGAAGGTCAAAGTATAGATAACAAGGACTCCTTTGAAAATGGAAGCTAAAAGCTGGCAGGAAAAGTTGTACATATATTGGACAAAATGGGCTTTAAGACAAAACCATAAAAGGAGACAAAGAAGACTGTTATATAATAGTTAAGAGATAAATTAGCAAAGATTATATGGTAACTGTAAATGTAATGTAAATGATGGAACATTGAAATGTAACTGTAAATGATGGAACACCCAATGTTATAAAACAAACATTAGATCTAAAGGGTGAACAACCTCCAATATAATTTTAGTAGGGCACTTCACTTCCTTTCATCAATGGAAAGATCATTGAGAAAAAAAATCAACAAACATCTGAGTTAAGATATATTTTTGATCAAATGGACCTGACATATTGACAGAACATTCCACCCAACAACTATAGAATACACATTCTTTTCACCCCAGCACATCTAACATTCCCTAGGATAGCCTATTAAGACACAAAATAAGTCTCAATTTTTAACAATAAAAATCATATATATCTTTTCTGATGACAATGGAATAAAATTCAACAAAGCACTCAGGAAATTAAAAAAATACATGACTGAGCAACATCCTATTGAAGAATTCAAAAGGAAAATTTTAAAATGCCTTGAAACTAATCAAAGTGAAAACATATTGAAACTTATGCTGTATCCTCATAGTAATAAGCAACTACATTAAAAACAGGTATCAAATAACTTGATATAAGATTTTAGAAAACAGGGATAAACCCAAAATTAGGAGAAGGAAATAAATACCAAAGACCAGATAAAGAAATAAAGACATAGAAAAGAAATACAAAAGGATAATGATGAGTTAATTTTTGAAAAGATAAAATTGATAAGCCTTTAGCTACCAGGGGTAGCTTTTTTTTCTGCCCAAGGGCATACCAAATTATCAACTTAGCCTGCTACAGATTGGCTGAATTTCAAGTCCTGCCTGCAGGTGCCTTGGCAGGGCCAGACCAAATGATTTTATGGGTCTTTAACACAAAGAAAATTCCATGACTAGATAGCATCACTGCCTAGAGTTCTACCAAACTTTTAAGAGAACTTTTCCAAACTTAATACACAAGGGTAACATTACCTTGATTACAAAACCAAACAACGCCACAACAATAAACCATAGTCCCATATCCCTGATGAATATATATATATATGTATATATATTATATATACATCAACAAATACTTGCAAATTGAATCCAACAATACATCAAAATGATCATTCATCCCAAGAATGCAGGGATGGTTCAACCTAATACAAATCAATAAATGTAATTTATAATGTCAATATTATGAAGGATAAAAATCATCTAACCTTAATAGGTACAGAAAACGCAATTGAGGGCCAGTGCCGTGGCTCAATAGGCTAATCCTCCGCCTTGCGGCGCCGGCACACCAGGTTCTAGTCCCGGTCAGGGCTCCAGATTCTTTCCCGGTTGCCCCTCTTCCAGGCCAGCTCTCTGCTGTGGCCCGGGAGTGCAGTGGAGGATGGCCCAAGTACTTGGGCCCTGCACCCACATGGGAGACCAGGAGAAGCACCTGGCTCATGCCTTCGGATCAGCGCGGGGTGCCGGCCACAGCGCGCTGCCCGCGGCCATTGGAGGGTGAACCAACGGCAAAGGAAGACCTTTCTTTCTGTGTCTCTCTCTCACTGTCCACTCTGCCTGTCAAAAAAATTAAAAAAAAAATTAAAAAAAAAATAAAAAAAACGCAATTGATAAAATTCCATGTCCATTTATGATAAAAACCCTGAACAAATTAGGTATATAAAGACCATAGCTTGGCCAGCGCCATGGCTCACTAGGCTAATCCTCTGTCTTGCAGCGCCGGCACACCGTGTTCTAGTCCCGGTCGGGGTGCCGGATTCTGTCCCAGTTGCCCCTTTTCCAGGCCAGCTCTCTGCTGTGGCCAGGGAGTGCAGTGGAGGATGGCCCAAGTACTTGGGCCCTGCACACCATGGGAGACCAGGAGAAGCACCCGGCTCCTGCCATCGGATCAGCACGGTGCGCCGGCCGCAGCACGCCGGCCGTGGTGGTATTGGAGGGTGAACCAACGGCAAAGGAAGACCTTTCTCTCTGTCTCTCTCACTGTCCACTCTGCCTGTCAAAACAAACAAACAAACAAAACAAAACAAAACAAAAAAAACCATAGCTTAACATAATAACGGCTATATAGTATAAGCACAGGTCGACATTGTATTAAATAGGAATAACTGAAACTATTTCCTCTTACATCTAGAATCAGACAAGAATGTTCATTCTCACTCTTAGATTCAATGTAGTTGTAAAAGATTCAACCAAAGAAATTAGGAAAGAAGAAAACATAAAATGCACACAAATGGAAAAGGTGAAAAAATTTCCCTATGTGAAAGTGACAAGATTTTTTTTTTTTTTTCTTACAGGCAGAGTGGACAGTGAGACAGAGAAAGGTCTTCCTTTTCCTTTGGTTCACCCTCCAATGGCCGCTGCAGCCGGCACACCGCGCTGATCCGAAGGCAGGAGCCAGGTGCTTCTCCTGGTCTCCCATGTGGGTGCAGGGCCCAAGTACTTGGGCCATCCTCCACTGCACTACCGGGCCACAGCAGAGAGCTGGACAGGAAGAGGAGTGACCGGGACAGAATCTGGTGACCCTACTGGGACTAGAACCCGGTGTGCCGGTGCCGCAGGCGGAAGATTAGCCTATTGAGCCGCGGCGCCTGCCACAATGTTCTTAGACATTTATCTCCATCATGACCAGACTATTACATTGAACAATCACCAGCGTGAGTGTGAAAACAAACATTAAAACACTTGGTTGGAACGCTTTATACTTTGCACAGAATGGAAACTAAAAACTATTAAACCTCTTACACAATTAGTCTCCAGTAGAGTCAAGTTTTTTTTTTTTTATATATATACATAAGTATTGTCTAAAACATGTCTTCTTTGTAGCAGATAGGCCTTGTGCTTTAGTAAGGTCACAAATCTGTTGTAACCTATAGCTTCCCTGTCACTTCTCTGGCTTGCCACTCCTCCTATGCTTTGTTGACTGGAAATTATTAAAACCTGCCCTTGCCATAGAAACTGCTGCTGCTGTAACTGACCACGCCATCTTGATTTCATGGTTTGGGAGAATATTGGTTTCTACCACCACAGGAATCAGAGCTTCTGCCTTCAAAGTTTCCTCTATTCATGGAGTCTAAAATTTGAAGACTGATTGTTGTAATTGCCAAAATCACCGTAGCTTCCACCACCTCTGAAATTGCTTCCCTCATTACATTCCACCCATTGTAAGCATCCCCACTGTTACCACAGCCACCGTGACCACTGAGATTTCCCCCACAACCAAAGCTGTCATTGCCACCAAAACTACCTCTGTGATCACCACCAGTTTCCAGAGCCACTAGGACCTCTCTGGATGGATGAAGCACTAGCCACCACCTACTTTGATGGTCCTTCCTTACTTTGCAGCCGTGACTATTCACATGATGGTATTTCTGAAGAACAATCTTAATAGTAAATGGAATGATTCAACACACAATAAACTCAATCTACTACGAGACTTAAAATTGGCAAATTCAGTAAAATCTGCAAAATTCAGTAAAAACTGCAAAATCATCATTGTTACAAACCAGTAATAAACTAACTGAAAAGTTATAAAAGCAATCCCATTCACAATACATATAAAATTTAGGCAAATGGGATTAATTCAGGCTAAGAAGTTCAGTACATCAAAAGCAATAAATCAACTGAATAAAAAGACAACCAGTAGAATGGAAGAAAATATCTGCAAGTTATGCATCTATTAAAAGATTAATATCCAGAATATATAAGGAACAAAAAATCCAGGAAATAGACATGAATCTAAACAAATAACTTCTCAAAAGAAGAAATACAAATAGCTAACAAATACCTTAAAAAAAAGTTCAACGTCACTAGTCATCAGGGAAATGCAAATCAAAACCACAGTGAGATAAGTATTGACTCTAGTTAAATTGGCTATTATGAAAAGGACAAATAAGTTTACAGACACTAGTGAGAATGGTGAAGAAAAGAGAACCTCATGCACTGCTAGTGGGAATGCATATTTGTGCAGCCATTCTGCAGTATGGAGGGTCTTCATAAAAACTAAGATCTGTCATAGGACTCAGCTATCTCACTTCTGGGTATGTAAGAAATGAAACTAGAATATGAAGGTGATATCTGCACTCCCAAGATTATTGTTCATTGAAACACCATTCACAGTAGCCAAGATATGTCCATCAATGGATGAATGAATAAAGAACATATGGTAACTGCACACAAAGTGGATTATTATTCATCAAGAAAAAAAATCCTGACATTTGCATAAAAATTGCTAGAACTACATGCAGGTTGAAGTAAGATACAGAGAAGCTCAAATGTACTTGTTTTCTCTTATATGTGGAAGCTAAAAAAATGCACTGATTAGTAGAGACTGGAGATACTGGAGGGTAGAGGAAATAAAGGAAGACTGGATCAACATAGATTGAATTCGTAATTTCTATTATGAGTTATATGAGGAACTATAATCCACCCAACATGTGATATAACATATAGGAGAGAGGAGCTTGTGGTTTCTAAACACAAAAGATAAGAAAATGGAAAAGCTAGTTGCCTGGTTTGATCACTTTATGCTGTATATGTGTTGAAACATTGCATTATATCCCATAAAGGAGCAATATTAAATGTCATTAAAATTTTTAGAATAACTAAAAAAGAAATTATACTCATGCCTTGCCAAATATCTAAATGGATTTCACCTGTTTTATAATTATCATTGAAAATTCAAAAAAAGCAAATTCGTTAATAAATCATACAATATCTCTAATGACTTTATCCATTTTCTGGTGCTTTGTCTTTATGTTTTTATTTACTTCTTGGAAGAATTTTTGGAAACAGATGCAGGAAATTTTAAAGTATGGAAGGACTGAAAACAGGCCAGTGCCCACGTGAAGGACAGTGAAAAAATGCTAGGGTGATACTGACCTCCAGTGGCCACAAAACACAGACACTAGTAATTCTCAAGAAATTTAAACCTAGCACCAAATATAAAATTATTTATCTGCTTCATCTATTTCTTAAGATAACAGCAACAGTGGAAAATTTTGTTTTCAAATTTCATGCTTAATAAAGAAACACCTTCTTGCTGAGTATATATAATCATTCCAATTGGCAACTAACAAGCACAGTAATTTATTATCAGATTATACTCTTAATGACATACACCAGGAATTACATAAACTCGAGAGTGAATACTTTACCAGTCTAGAGAATGATGGACCAAATTCTGTATTTACATGAGATAATCAAAGAAAAGGCAGGAATGCTTTTCACACCAAAATGTATTAAAAATATGCTATGGTAAAATACTTTATTTAAAGAACACTGATGCCTAACTACACTTTTTAAAAATTTTTTCATATATTGCAACTGACTTAAATCTGGAACCATGATCTTGATTTAAGAGACGAAAAGTGTGAAAAATAAAAATAAAAAAATTTCCTGTTTTTTAATATATATATATATATACACACACACACACACAGTCCTGTCAACTTCCAAATCCTTAAGAGTCTAAGGTAAGACCAAGGCTTTTAAAATGACACACTACAGGTATTGCTGTGTAGAAGTTACAGAAACTAGCATTTGTCATTTATAAGTCTTAGTTTTACTGTGAAACATGCACCTATTTATCATCTTAAACATTTTTTCATTTGTAGAAGAAAATTTGCTACAACTACTAAAACTGCTGATAAGATAGAATTGTTTCAACTTCGCAGGAACCATTTCCACTTTGTACTTAGGCAGAAGCTTTGCAAATCCCATCTGATTTACAATATATTATGAAAGGAACGCCCTTTTATTCTCTAATTCTCACTGTCAAAGAGAAAATTTCAAAGTATAAGGCAAGTGGGCATTCTGTGATTAGGAATTAGAGGAATGTATGAATTAAATGCTTATCAATCTGAATAACAGCACAGGTTTAAAATCTTCTAGTCAGAAGCTAGCATCGTGGCTTAGCAGGGTGGGGTGGGGAGGCGGTAGAGTGGGGGAGATAAAGCCACCCTTTGGGATGCCAGGATCCCATATGGGTGCCAGTTCAAGTCCCTGCCGTTCCACATCCAATCCAGCTTCCTGCTAATGGCTTGAGAGAAGCAGTAGCAGATGGCCAAAGTGCCCCTGCCACCAACTTGGGAGACCCAGTTGGAGCTACTGGCTCCTTGCTTCAGTCTGGGTCAGCCCTGGCCATTGCAGCCACCTGGGGAGTGGAAGATTTTCTCTCTCTCTCTCTCTGTAACTCTTTCAAATAAATATTTTAAAAAATCATCTGGTCAAACAGACAAGAATTGCTATTACAAATGATTATGGAAAGAAATTTAAGTGAAGTGAGAAAAATCCTATAATCTTTTTCTAAATTTCTGTGGGAAATAAAAGCCAGCTATAATGAAGTACTTTTAAATGCAAATAATTGCTAATTGACAGAAACAGAGTCAAAGTAAATCTGAGCCTAGAATTTAAAGTATTTAGTAAAACAAGTCAATATATTTTTACTCTTACCGAATATAGTCAAAATATTCTTTGTGCTGGTTACGATAAAAAACTGAAAATTTAAGCATACGTCCTGAAATCACTTCAGCCTTCTCCAACAGCTGTGTTAGATGAACTTTTGAGTAGTCTGAAAATAACCAAGAAAGTCCATTAAAAACAGAACACCAAAAAATAAATTACATATTTAATAAATTGAAGATTTTTTAAATTAACCTTTAGGGAATTCAATTTAGTGAATAGGAAATAAAATTGTAAACAGAAATCATTCATTGTATGGCACATTTTTCATTTTATAAATGTATTTAAGTTATCATTGCTGCTTAGAATTATGTTTATATTTTTTCCACTCTACAAAATGGAAGATACTGAAACAAAAATAAGCTAAATAAATTTTCATAACTCAAGTAATGTCCATCAGCACCTGACTAGCTTTTCTTTGAGCAAGTGATAAAGTCAATAAAATAAGCTGATAGTTTATAATCTGCAATCAATAACAAAATTGGAAAGCAGAAATAATAATGCTCATTTATTTTGTAAAGCTGATAAGACAGATTAAATATTAGCATTTTAGGTGCCAGTGTTTGTGGTGCAGCAAGGTAAGCCACTGGGAGCACCAGTTCAGCCCCTGGCTGCTCAGGTTCCAATCCAGCTCTCTGCTAATATTGCTGGGTAAGCAGCACCAGAGGGCACAAGTACTTGGGCCCTGCCACCCACATGGAGACCCAGATGAAGTTCCAGGTGCCTGGCTTTGATCTGGCTTAACCCTGGCCATTGTGGTTATTTGAGGAGTGAATAAGCAGATAGAAGATCTCTTTCTTCATCTCTTGGTCTGTCTTCTCTGTCTTTCAAATAAATAAAACTTTTCCCTTTAAATGACTATTTTATTGATGCAGAAATTGAAGCTTATCAAACTTTTTAATGATTTTGCCCAATGTTCATATAACCAGTAACTTACGAGACTTGGTTGCTAGCTCCCAGTTGATTGTCTGAGTACCAACACCCTTTGAAATCTAATGATACTGTGAAAGTAATGACACTTTTTACCAATTTTTCATTGTCAAACTCTTGCACGAGAATTAACTTCGTGGTTAATCACAGTTAAGACTTTCCAAACAGACCAACTTAGTTAAACTGCTCACAGCAACATTGTTTGGTTTACCCACTGTTTCCCTGGGTCAATAAACATTTATATTAGATCATATAATGCACAGGTCAGAATACAAAGTCAGATAATCAAGATAAAAAATTGCTTCAAGGAACTAGCAATCTAAGGGAGGATTCTAAGGAAAGATAAATATATAGAGAGACAAAAATGACTTCTTATGGCATCATTTTTAAGTCTGGGATAAATACGTGGTATCATCTTTTTCACAGAATGAAGAGTTTGGCCTGTGGCATTCTATTTTATTTCCAATACCTTGCACAGTGCCTCATACATAGTATAAGCTCAATAAATATTGAATTAGATGTCTGGCTTAAAAGACAACTTATATAAAATAGCTGTCTCAAAATTTACAGAGTCAAGGTTACTGAGAAAGCATGGGTGAAATAATCTCTAATTATGATAAACTCAACAGTTTTGGACATTTTAAGTTCCTCTTAGATTTTAATCATGTAAATAAAAATGCACGATTTATAGAAAAATATTGTCACACATCTCCAAACTGGCATTTTCCTTATTTATCCTATAACTTCCTTAAGCAAATTATGGTATATAATTAAAGGAGTACTATGGTCTGTATATGGTTTGAGTTTGTCTTCTAAAAGTTAATGTGTTAGAAGCTTTGTTGCCAGGGATGTGGTACTTAGAGGTAGTGTGGGACCTCTTTTAAGATGGGGGGTCAAGTGGGAGTCCTTAGTTCAATTGGAGACATGCCCTGAGAAGGCAGTGTACGACCTCACTCTTTGGCTTCCTGTCTAATAATGTGACCTCCTGCTCCTACACATTCTCCTGCTAAGATACCATCGACCATTACACCCTCTTCCGAAGCTAAATTGATGGAGACACCCAGTCTTAGACATTCAACCTCCAAAACTGAGCCAAAATAATCCTCTTTTCTTCATAAATGTCTCAGGGATTTTGTTATAGTTAACAAGAACTAAATCATATTAAGATACAAGATTTACCTTCATATACATAGTAAACATGCCGTCACATCGTTAACTAGATCACAGAATAGACTGAATATATACATGTGTAGAGTCTGTGTGAATCTATAATATTTCTGAACTAAAATCCTAAAAGGTCTTCCTTAAGCTGCAGAAAAAATTTGATGCCTTTTCCTAACATCAAATGGGGGTTTTGGCGGGTATACTATAGCACCTTTTAGTGTAAAATACTATGTTACTGTTTGCTATCATCCTTTAGAAAACTGCATGTATTACAGATTGAATGTCCCTTATCTGAAATGCTTTGGATCAGAATTGTATTCAGAGTTTTTTAGTTTTTGGAAAAATCGGTATAGGCTATACCAGCTGAGCATTCCTACCCTGAAAAGCTTCAAAATCCTAAACTTTCAAAACATATGTTAATGCTCAAAAAATTTCAGATTTTAGAGCATATCAGATTTTTGACATTCAAAGTAGGGATGCCTAACCTGTAAAAAATGTCAAAGAGATTGTGCCTATGTGCTTACTTAGATTAAGCCTCCCTGGTAGGGTAGAATGAAAATGGAGAAGCAGGAAAGAGTGAATATGAGATTCCAAAGAGAAATTTTAATTCAGGAAAAAAAAAAATCAGGTGAATGCTAATTCCAACATGACACTTGAAATACAGTTAAAAGTTGTATTATGAAGAATTTTTATATCTATTGTTAATAGAGAATCTTTAGCTATTTCATTACTGATTAGTGAACTATGATTACTACCATTTCTCACCTATTCTAAAATGCATTTTTACACATTTAAACATCTCTGACATGTGCCTAACAATAAATGTAAAAGAAAGCACTGTCGTAAGTTAGTTGGTGGAATTTTTTTCTAAGTGATACATAAAATGGTGCATCTTAGAATTTATGGCATAAGATAAACAAATATGGTACTGGAAAGATACTATTTTCTTGAAATCTGGAACACTGAACACTGAAATCTTTAACAAAGATGCTACAATCCTTAACAACTTCCTCAATGAACAACAACAACAACAAAAGGTTGCAGATAAAATCAAAATCACACAGAAGTAAAATTTCATCCATTTAACATGTTCATACAAATTTCATATTTAGTGCAGACTGAGAAACAACAGAAGGTATTGAAATAAAGAACTAAGCATGCAATGATTCTAAAATAATACAATTCTGAGGCCATGGGTTGGGGAGGGGAGTGGGGAAAGCTGATTGATCTGAAGGATGTCTCAGCTGAGGAAAGTTGCTAAGCAACCTGCAATAGGTGAGGCAAATTGTTTACAAGACTTTTTCTAGAAGCATCTTTTTTTACTGTTGCAGCCTCTACCCCACAACATTTTTATAGGAAATAGTCATCTAGACAAAGAGGAGAACAAAATTCCATTCTGAAAAACAAAAGAATGACAGAAGTGCTTAGGTAGAGAGAGAGCTTTTCATCCTTTCAATACCTCACTGTTCAATAAATGCTTGTTTTTGTGTTTTTTCTTTTTGAAGATTTGTTTTTAAAATGCAGAGAGAGAGAGAGAGAGAGAGAGAGAGAGAGAGAGAGAAAGGGGGTGGGTGGATATCTTCTATCTGCTGGTTCACTTCCCAAATGGGCAAGTCTGAGCCAGACTGAAGCCAAGAACCAAGAACTCCATTCTGTCTCCCACATGGGTGGTAGGGACCCAAGTACTTGGGTAATCTGCTTTTCCAGGTGCATTAGCAGGACGCGGGATAGGAAATAGAACAGCTGAGACTCCAATAGCATTCTGATTTTGGACACCAACACCACAAGCAGCAGCTTAATGTGCTGCAACACAACGCTGGTCCCTGAGTACTTCTTGGTTAATGAGTAAACAATAGGTGAATGAGAAGAATGATAACATTTCCATTGGAATAATCTAATGGAATATTAGGGTACACTTTAGCATCAAATGCCACAAGCTCTCCACATCAGATCTCCCAATGCCAAATGGCTATTAGGTATATTTTAATGAAACAAAGACATATATACACACATAAGACACTAGTTTAGACAGGGTTTTTTTTGTTGTTGTTGTTTTTTGGACTCTTACAGCATTTAAATGAAACATCTAGTAACATTTCTGCTATGGACAGACACTTCAATCTATAATACCCCTAAATTAGATAAGAGTATTTTTGAACTTTATTTTAATATATGTGAAAATGAAAGTAATGAAAAAAAAGTAAAAAGACATCTCTGTGAAAATGAAACCCAATGTATGATGAGTATGTTTTCAAACTTCACCTGTCTTTATTTGCAAAACTTTCATTTGGGGAAAACATAAAGAAATGATTTGAAGCAATCACCTTGGTGCTCCTACTGAGAACCTTAGCTCTGTCCAACCAAAACCAATTTAATATTGTTGTTCCATGGTGCTATTGACAATGCAACAATGACCAGTTCAGTACATATCACCTTTATAATTACAAAAATAGATTTTCTGTAATTTACTTTCCAGTAACAACTAAGTAATGGTTATTTTTTCCCTATATTTATACCTCGTTCTCTTACCTGCTGTGCAGAATTCTATAATTTCACTCCATTCGGATACAACATAGTCACCATCAACTTGCTTTGAGGCCGTCTGCACTGCTACTGTATACTCAGTTCTTGGACTCAAAAACCAGTGTCCACGTACAGTCATAGGCAAGGGAACAGCTTTTGCCACGAGCTTTGTTGGAACATCCTAAGAGGGAGAAAAGGAAGGGAAGGATGGAAGGAAAGGGAGAACAGATACTAATTCAGCATATAACTTTAATGAGTTGTAACCAATTAGGAAGTTTATTAAATTCCTAGCTGACAACAGAATTTTCTTGTTTAAAGATACTTAGATTTAAATCTCTTATTCTTCATATCCAAAAACTAAAGCCCCGACTTGATCAAGAGGCCTGCTCAAGACCACACAGCTAATCAATAGCATAAATGTTCATGGATTTGATTTCCAGTATGTTCTTTTCTGAACTATATGTTCCTCAAAATGCTATAACCTGTAATACTAAATAACAAAGTTTTTTTTAAGAACAAAATATATTAGATATTAAAAGTACTACATTAATACTAAATGACAAAGTTTTTTTAAGAACAAAACAATATATTAGATATTAAAAGTACTACATTTGCTTAATTTACCTTATTTTTTTTTCAGGACTAGCCCACTACTAAACAATTTATATGTGAAAGGATAGAATTTTTTTAAAAATTACTTTAATTAAATGGATCTGTTTTAATACAAATGAGGCTAACATCTGCTTTACTTTTATTCAGGTACTGAGTCTGAGTCACAGAATAGTTTAAGTATTTGTAAATAAGGACTAATCATTAATATGCCAGATGAGTGGACACTACATTTTCAATGACATGGTATCCTAAGTATGGAGTAAATAAAGGGGGTTAAATCTTGAGCTCATTTAATATTAAATATTTCCAAGCTGCTTCAAGAAGGCAAATGTAAACAGAGTATCACCAAGAAACATAATCAAAATTAGAACTTGGGAACAATAACGACTGATTAAGTTTGCTTTCTCTTTCACACAACATAAGAAAGAACACTTAAACCAGTTAACTTATCCTCTCTACAGGTACTTTTAGAGAGATATACATCAGAAAAGATGTATGATATGTAGACAGGTATGCAAATAAACATTAGAAATATTACATATCTAAAAAAATCTAAAAGTTGGTAATTTTCATTCTAAAAACAAAAAGGCAATACAAGAAATTTTCACTCCCAAAATGAACAAAACAACAGAAAATTAACTGCCTAAAGCAATTTTCAGCCCTAAAGTGTTTTAACAAATAACATGATGCTTATAAGCTGTATCAGATTCCTCTTTTGGCAGTTAGCAGAGGAAAAATGTGTGTCTCAATAAAGACGTATGCACTGCCTGTAGCACAACTTTCTGGCTATCTGCTTCTGATTCTATGGAAGCTATTCTACAATTTTGTAATCTCTAGGAATTAGTAACAATTCAGTTATTCTTGTCTAAATACCTGTAAATAAATTCTGCCAGTGGAGGGACACTGCACCCATTTTTTTGAGTCTACATCCACATTAATTTCAATATACCTGATCTAAAAATGAGTATCTTTTTGTATTATCCTACGAATTCAATGTAGTACCTTATCAGTTTCCTTATTAATCAGTTGAAATCTTCAGCATATACTGATTTCATGTCTTCATGACAGCCATGATTTTACCATTTTTGAAAATTATCTTTTAACAATTAGTATAGCATTTTTTATAAAATATATTACAGGATTAGGTTTTAAAATCACATAATCTTTATTCTTGCCAATATAAAATATATTATTAATGAACCATTTTTTAAAAGATGTTCTTACTACAAATGTTTTTAAGATGCAAGTCAATTTAAGTGTTTGTTGCATTTACCTTGTGCTTGAATTTATTAGAGTTCTTGTTCTCTTTCTTGTTAAGGTCTATGAAATAATGTGTAATACGATCCTTTGATTTTGAATCCATTTCCCATGAAATCTTGAATGAATCACATGTAATATTGCTTATTTTGATGTTATGTGGTACAGGAAGTTCTTCCATCTCTGCTATGCCACTGTCTTGTGATTTGTTCCCTGAAAGAAAACAATACACATAAAGGTAGTTTCCAATTAATGTGTTGTTTTCCAATTTTCTTTTTTTTTTTTTTTTAACTTTTATTTAATGCATATAATTTTCCAAAGTACGACTTATGGATTACAATGGCTTCCCCCCCATACCGTCCCTCCCACCCACAACCCTCCCCTTTCCCACTCCCTCTCCCCTTCCATTCACATCAAGATTCATTTTCGATTATCTTAATATACAGAAGATCAGCTTAGTATACATTAAGTATGGATTTCAACAGTTTGCTCCCACACAGAAACATAAAGTGAAAAATAATAGATGATTTTTTTAAATGATGATGAAATCAGAGCAGACCTATTGTCATGTTTAATCCCAGTGAGAGTCAAGTTGGGGAATTGATAATTTCTTTTTTTTTTTTTTTATTTTTACAGAGGATCAGTTTAGTATGCATTAAGTAAGGATTTCAACAGTTTGCACCCCCATAGAAACACAAAGTGAAATATATTGTTTGAGTACTCGTTATAGCATTAAATCTCAATGTACAGCACATTAAGGATAGAGATCCTACATGAGGAGTAAGTGCACAGTGACTCCTGTTGTTGACTTTACCAATTGACACTCCTGTCTATGGCATCAGTAATCTCCCTATGCTCCAGTCATGAGTTTCCAAGGCTATGGAAGCCCTCTGAGTTCTCTGACTCTTATCTTGTTTAGACAAGGTCATAGTCAAAGTGGAGGTTCTCTCCTCCCTTCAGAGAAAGGTACCTCCTTCTTTGAAGACCTGTTCTTTCCACTGGGATCTCACTCACAGAGATCTTTTGCCAGAGTGTCTTGGCTTTCCATGCCTGAAATACTCTCATGAGCTTTTCAGCCAGCTCCGAATGCCTTTAGGGCTGATTCTGAGGCCAGAGTGCTATTTAGGACATCTGCCATTCTATGAGTCTGCTGAGTATCTCACTTCCCATGTTGGATCACTCTCCCCTTTATTTACTCCATCGGTTAGCGTTAGCAGGTACTAGACTTGTCTATGTGCTCCCTTTGACTCCCAGTCCCTCCACCATGACCAACTGTGAACTGAAACTGATCACCTGGAACAGTGAGATGGCATTGGTACATGCCACCTCGATGGGATTGAATTGGAATCCCCTGGTATGCTTCCAACTCCACCACTTGGGGCAAGTCAGCCTGAGCATGTCCCAAATTATTCATCTCTTCCCTCTCCCATTCCCACTCCCATGTTCAACAGGGATCACATTTCAGTTAATTTTCAACACTTAAGAATAACTGTGCATCAATTACAGATCTAAACCAGTCATATTAAGTAGAACAGACAAAAAAACTACTAAGAGGGATAATGTATTAAGTTGTTCATTAACAGTCAGGGCTATGCTGATCAAGCCACACCCCTACCTTACACCTTACACAAAAATCCACTCAACATGGATTAAAGACCTAAATCTACGACCTGACACCATCAAGTTACTAGAGAACATTGGAGAAACCCTTCAAGATATTGGCACAGGCAAAGAATTTCTGGAAAAGACCCGGGAGGCACAGGCAGTCAAAGCCAAAATCAACTATTGGGATTGCATCAAATTGAGAAGTTTCTGTACTGCAAAAGAAACAGTCAGGAGAGTGAAGAGACAACCGACAGAATGGGAAAAAATATTTGCAAACTATGCAACAGATAAAGGGTTAATAACCAGAATCTACAAAGAGATCAAGAAACTCCACAAAAACAAAACCAACAACCCACTTAAGAGATGGGCCAAGGACCTCAATAGACATTTTTCAAAAGAGGAAATCCAAATGGCCAACAGGCACATGAAAAAATGTTCAAGGTCATTAGCAATCAGGGAAATGCAAATCAAAACCACAATGAGGTTTCACCTCACCCCGGTTAGAATGGCTCACATGCAGAAGTCTACCAACAACAGATGCTGGCGAGGATGTGGGGAAAAAGGGACACTAACCCACTGTTGGTGGGAATGCAAGCTGGTCAAGCCACTATGGAAGTCAGTCTGGAGATTCCTCAGAAACCTGAAGATAACCCTACCGTTCGACCCAGCCATCCCACTCCTTGGAATTTACCCAAAGGAATTTAAATTGGCAAATAAAAAAGAGGTCTGCACCCTAATGTTTATTGCAGCTCAATTCACAATAGCTAAGACCTGGAACCAACCTAAATGCCCATCAACGATAGACTGGATAAAGAAATTATGGGATATGTATTCTTTAGAATACTATACTGCAGTAAGAAACAACGAAATCCAGTCATTTGCAACAAAATGGAGGAATCTGGAACACATCATGCTGAGTGAAATAAGCCAGTCCCAAAGGGACAAATACCATATGTTCTCCCTGATCGGTGACGACTGACTGAACACCAAGAGGGAAACCTGTTGGAGTGAGGTGGACACTATGGGAAATGTTTTCCAATTTTCAAGGTGTACCTATTTTGAATTCAACTATATAGTTACTAAATCTAGGATTTAATTTAGATCATGAAGTAATGTCAGTGCTAATGATAATAAAGGATGTTTCTAAGGTCCTATTTACAATAAGAGATGACTTAAGCCTTCCCATATCTACATTTTCACTAATATCTGCTTTCATAGAGTTGAAACAGAAACACTGATGGTTACACTTACCCTTAAAAGCCCCCAAGAATCCGTTTTTCCTACATGACCAATCAGTTCTGCCCTAGAGTAGTATCAGGTGTTTTAAGCTAGATGATGTCATAAAAATGCTGACAATCAAAGAGTCCAGTCAAATAAAAGTAATGTTTCTTTAAAAGTATATGAGGTAGGAGCAGGCATTTGGCCTAACAGTTAAGGCATTTATTGAGACACCTGAACCCAGATTATGGTTCTTGAGTTCAAGTCCTGGGATTTGCTCCAGATTTCAGCTTTCTGCTAACACACACCTAGAAGGCATCAGGTGACAGCTCAAGTAATTGGTTCCCTGCCACTTATAGGAGATACCTGGATTGAGTTCTTGGCTCCTGGCTTTGACCTGGCCCAGCCCAGTGTGTATGCGCGTGGTGGGTGGGGTTTACAGGCATTTGAGGAGTGAATCAGCAGATGGAAGATCTCACTCTTCCTCTGCCACTCTCCCTTCTTCCATCTTTTTCTCTCAAGTGAAAAAAAAAATCCTTTAAAATGTATAAGGTAGCAATGACAACCTATAAAAATTGCTGTTCCTCTTTTATTTTGGAAATATATGGAAATAGCAGCTAATGATTACATTACACATCTAAATAACATTGAAGATAATTCAATTACAAGTTATTATGTCAAGGATTACTTTAGGAATCTTTTACCTATGATATCTTGATAAATTTAATTTTGAGTAACAAAATGATAGATAAGGCTAAAAGAAAATATGATTCCCATGTTAATCGATATAACTGAAATACTGAAAAACTGATCTCATACCTGGTTACTCTGAAGACTGTCTCCACACTTCTACTAAGAGAAAATGCTATCACTTAAAGTGATAAGGACATGAGGAATGACAGTACAAAGAAAGGAAATATACCCAGACTTGCCAGGTTTGTTCCATATACAATAAAGACATACTGGATTCAAATTTTATTCTACTTCTTTCTACCTTCCCTTTCCCCATGCCAACATAATGTTCAATTCCACAAAGAGAAAAAAGTGAAATAATTATTCACATGACAAAAAAATGGTAGGTCATATACCAGTTACGTATCTTAATCCTTACCAGAAAACAATAAATTTTGGTTAACAAAAATTAAAAAGCAATAACATTGAATGCCAGCCTGTTATAATACCTTCTATGTGTAGATTAATTGTTCTCTCCTCTGCTATACTCAGCACCAATCACTCAAATAAAACTTTTGACAAATCCCAACTTTATTAAATCTTTGATGTTATCTCAAACTGTATTGTGGCCAGAGGAACCCAACGGCAATCAACAATTGACTTCAAAATACCTTTAAGTTCTTCACTTTTATTTGTTGAACAATATTTTTTAAAACTTTCCTCCTGGGGCCGGTGCTGTGGTGCAGCTGGTTAACGCCCTGGCCTAAAGTGCCGGCATCCCATATGGGCGCTGGTTCAAGTTCTGGCTACTCCACTTCTGATCTAGCTCTCTGTGATGGCCTGGGAAAGCAGCAGCAGATGGCCCAAGTCCTTGGGCCCCTGCACCCATGGGAGAGACCCGGAAGAAGCTCCTGGCTCCTGGCTTTGGATCTCCGCAGCTCCAGCCGTTGCGGCTATCTGGGGAGTCAACCAGCAAATGGAAGACCTCTCTCTGTCTCTACTTCTCTGTAACTCTCTCAAATAAATCTTTAAAAAAAAAAAAAAAAACCTTTCATTTTTCTTTATAGCACCATCACATCCTAGTTTCTCCACATACTTTATACATGAAATTCCCAGAAAAATTTCTCCCACTTTTTACTTTACTCCATAGCTGTTTTCATACAATCCCCAAATTGCTTTTGGCTTAACACTTTTCAGAATTCAAGAGAAGGAAAAAACCAAGTGGACTCCCTTTAATAGCCTTGGGAAAAGGAAAGGAAATAAATATTCTAACAGTAATTTTTGTCCTATTTTCAAAAGGTCACATTTCAAACTACTGTTTGGATTGCAGTTATCTTCAAAACAGTAGTAGTATTAATGAAAATCTCTCTAGACACTAATGATAGAAAATTCTGTAATTCATCTATACTATAACTCTGTCCATACAACTTCACATTAAGAATAAAATTGTTTTTTACAATCCATAGAGAAAAATAAAACTATTTTGTACTTGATCCAATTTACTGCATATACAATTTCAATATATTGACATTACCTAACATATTTTACCATTTAAACTGCCACTACTCTTATTTTATTCAAACTTAAAGTGATAACTGATTTCTTCATACAGTACAGCACATTTTATAAATTTTCTTCTAATTGTTAAAATTTGCTGAAAAATGTTCCTTACATTAAAATGTGATATGGGAACCTTTGCTGAAATCATATTTTTTTCC